TATAAATTACAAACATGTTTTAAGGACATAAAATCCTGGATGAGCTGCAATTTTCTGATGTTAAACTCAGAAAAAAACGAAATTCTTGTACTTGGATCCAAAAACCTTAGAGTCTCACTGTCTAAAAATATAGTTGCTCTAGGTGGCATTACCTTGGCCTCTAGCACCACTGTCAGGAATCTTGGAGTTATCTCATTTATTAGTTATCTCATTTAATTCCCACATGAAGCAAACCTCTAGGACTGCCTTTTTTCGTTTACGTAATATTACAAAAATTAGACACATCCTATCACAGACAGATGCAGAAAAACTAATCCATGCATTGTTACATTTGGCACAAGTACTGACAGGAACTAGAAAAAGAGATCACATCTCTCCTGTACTAGCTTCTCTGCATTGGCTCCCTGTAAAATTTAGAATAGAATTTAAAATCCTCCTCCTCACCTATAAAGCTCTTCATGGTCAGGCCCCTTCATATCTTAAAGAGCTCATAGTACCCTATTACCCCACGAGAACACTACGTTCTCTGAATGCTGGGCTACTTGTGGTTCCTATAATCTCTAAAAGTAGAACAGGAGCCAGAGCCTTCAGTTACCAAGCTCCTCTCCTGTGGAACCAGCTTCCAGTTGTGGTTCGGGAGGCAGACACCCTCGCCACATTTAAGAGTAGGCTTAAGACATTCCTCCTTGATAAAGCTTATATTTAGGGTTGGCTCAGGTGAGTCCTGAACCATCCCTTAGTTATGCTGCTATAGGCCTAGACTACCAGGGAGTTTTCCCATGGTGCACTGAGCTCCTCTCTTCCTCTCTCTTTCTGCACTCATTCATGTCCCACTAATGCATGTTACTAACTTCACTTCTTCCCCGGAGTTCGTGTGCTTTTTCGTCTCGCAGGTTCTCATGGATCCTAGCGGAGCCTCCTACCATGGTCCTGCTTGACTCTCACTGCTAATATCACTGATATTAGTGTTATTATTATTATAAGTATTATTATTGCTACAGTTACTATTGTTGCTGTTGTCACTGCTCATTGTCCCCAATGGTTGCTGTTGTCATGTTCATCATCATCAGTCACTATTATTAGTGTAGTTGTTGCTACTGTTGTTGCTGTGCACCTGTCTGTCTGTCTGTTTCTCTGTCTGTCTGTCTGTCTGTCTGTCTGTCTGTCTGTCTGTCTGTCTGTCTCTCTCTCTCTCTCTCTCTCTCTCTCTCTCTCTCTCTCTCTCTCACCCCAACTGGTCGAGACAGACGACCACCCACCTAGAGCCGAAGGATCTGTCCTAGGTTTCTGCCTTTTAACAGGCAGTTTTTCCTTGCCCTTGTCGCCAAGTGCTTGCTCATGGTGGTACTGTTGGGTATCTGTAAATAATGTTATAAGGAGTTCGATCTAGACCTGCTCTATTTGAAAAGTGTCCTGAGATAACTTCTGTTATGAATTGGCGCTATACAAATAAAACTGAATTGAATTGAATTGAATTGAATAGTTTTAAACCAAATATTATTCAGTATTTAGGCCTTTGATTGATACAGTTGATACTACTTTAACTGGCTCAGGGGCCTCAAAATGGGAAACTTATATTGTTAAATATTAATAGTTAAAAGCCCGGTGTGGTGGTAATTAGGAACATATTAGGAACATAAAGCACATTTGCAATCAGTGTTGACAGCAGTTAACAAGTCTGCTGTTGAAGATTTAGTTTTACCAACAAAAACTGTGCAGAAAACCACACAATATCTGATTTGAAATCTTTTATTTTGCAAACAAACAAATCATAGCACACTTCATTTTTAGCATTACAGCATACAGCATATTCATTTCCCCTTTTAATCGTAGCAAGGCAGTTCTGGAAAAGCTTGTTTGAAACTTCTGTTGATCAAGTTTCATGTTGACGAACTCTTTATTTCCTTGACAAATTTAAATTGGGTTTTTCAGGAGAGATCGAGGGCTAAAAAGTAGGAGAGAGAGAGAGAGAGAGAGAGAGAGGTACAGTAATTTAAATAACATACTAATGCAACAAATGTTATCTACCTTTTTAATTATGAGTACATTGATATCAACATTTCACTGAAAATAAAACTTACTTGTATAGGGCCACATGCTCCTGGTCTTCCCCAGCAGGCGATCCAACTTCTCGAATTCACTGGTTTTCTTCCCTGTAACAAAAAGAGAATAAACAATAAACAAAAAGCATTATTATACATGGAAAACCCCTTTCTCCCATCTCTGACCCGCTGTGGATATTCTCACCTGACCAAGAGGAAGTTGATCATCTTTTACCAGAGTGGCTGCATCAGTAGAGGTGAAGGCTGTGATGAGCAGGAAAGCCTGCAGACACAACAGGATCAGCACAGTTTTCTCCATGGCTGATGAAGTGAAGAGTTTAAAAACAAACGTGTCCTAATATACTCTCTGCCAACCAATCACACAAGGCAACAGGATACCACCACTTTACAAGATCAGAAACACGTCAGAGGGATTTTTAAGGAACCAAATCTCCACATGAAAACAACTCAAGTCCTTAAGAAGTGAAAACTATTTATTGACTTGGTTACATTAAAGGACCGGTGTGTAGAAGATTGAAACTAACTGAATACTGCTGGCGTCTGTATTTTGTCTATTCTGGGCTACTGTAGAAACATTTTCTGCTAATAGATTCTCCCAAAAGTTACAAACTGGACTTTTAACTCTCCTGTAAGCATCCTGTAAAAAAATATCACAGAAAGTATAAAAATAATAATAAAAGGATGATGACCGCCTTGCATTATGCAAATAATATTCATTTAAATGCAGCTTTCAATTTGAATCTTTCAAACTATACATTTAATTATAAATACTGAGGAGATTTTCCAGTATATTACAATATAATATATTCCACATTTTGATGAGTTAATAAACGTTTAAATTACTTTGTCGTTCTTGACTTTAGTGATTTTAATGTTGGTGTTCAGTTGTTCGATGGCTGAGATATGATAGATGTAAGACAGAGCTGTAAACCTCCATGATGGTATTTGTACTTTGACTGTTACTCAACCCGTCTGCACTTTCGCAGTGATTTGACCACAAGTTAATGTGCTGGAATCTGTAATTGCACCAGTTCTGTAACAGTAAACATAATGGGGAAGCATCACAACAATGTCAAAACAACATCACAAAGTAAATACGAGACACACTGAGACATCCTGCAGGTCTCCCTCCTGGTTGTTTTCCTCTTTGTCTACACTTTCACCTCCTCTGCACACACAATGCAATATTTATGCAGAAAAACACTTTTGCTACTGTTTCATTAAAGTTGTAGATTTTACTGTTTAAAATTTTTAAGGCCATTTAATATTTAATACTCTTTAATAATAAATATTAGGGATTCTTATCAATGATACATGTATCTATGGGCTTACATTAAAACAATATTAACTGATATATCAGATTTACAACCTCTTAAATGTCAATATTTGTCTCTGCCAAGTTGTATCAAGCCATGCTGATTTATACCATAGTTTTCTATCTCTAAATATGAGCAGTTAGACATCACAAGAGGTAAATAAGACAATATGTTCTGTGGTAATTTGAATAAACAATATTAACATGACTGTTGTTGAATGTGTTTTTAATAGGATTTGTCCATGCATAAGCAGTGTGTGTGATTAATTTCATTCTATGTCCATGAAATTTAGGAAATTGCGGCAACAATCATTTGTGAAATTCTGAGAACGAAACCACTAAAATGAAGAAATATGTTCCCACACTGTCTCTGTTGTGAAATACGAGTGATTTTCCACGCGCTCTGAGTCTTACATCAGCAAATTTTTACCGTGTTTTCACTTAAAATACCACAACAGCAGCACCCAAGAGTTCTGGGTCCAGTTTCAGAGGACAAAAGTCTGCCAGTTTGTTCCAGAAAGAGAAAAATAACTTAAACTCTGGCTCAGTTACCATGGAAACTGACTCTGTGAATCTAACCTGCTCGTTAAAATTAGTGCTTTTATCTGCTGGCAGGCATTTCCCCCGCATTCAGATATTACACAGCATCAAGTCGCCCTAAGCTCAGGATAAAACATCTGCATGTCTCTCTTTTTTATTATTTAAAACTGTGACTCACAAGACAGCTATCAGTGTGTTAGAGCAGTTCCACCAGAACGTTTATTCGTATAATCTCATATACATAGGATCAATGAATAATTGAATCATGTTGCACTGACAGAACATTATTCTTATAATATTTAAGTTTATGTTAATGATGAGTGAGCAGGATGTTGCAGCTGCAGAATGTAGTTTAAAAGTGAGGTTTTTATAAGCTGCGTATAGTCTGAGCGTGTTTTAACAGCCTCTCAGTGACTGTGAGTATATGAAGTCACATAAAATTCACTGTATTTTAACCTCTAAGCCTACAGCCTAATACAGAGGTTGCGTTTTCTATTCCAAGGACCCCCAAATAGCATCAGTTTATGGCCCAGAGGCCCCCATTTAAAAACACTTGGACAGTAACATGGCTAATGTTAACACCCCACTGAACTAATACACAGATGAAGGATTCCACCACTTTAGCATCCATTAAGGAAATGTAAGTCTGGTGAAAGATGAATTAATGGAGACCACTGAATGAGACTTTATTGTGTGGCCCCAGGAGGACAGAAGGAGAACCGGGATGAATAAGGAGCCACGCTGGCCCAGTTTGGACTTAAAGGTCCAGTGTGTAACATTTAGGAGGATCTATTGCCAGATATTTAATATAAGATTAAATGGTTTGTTTTTATTAGTGTATAATCACCTGAATATAGGAATTGTTGTGTTTTACCTTGGAATGAGACGTTTTTATCTACAGCTGTTTCTACAGTAGCCCTGAAAGGACAAACCAAACACTGACTATACATAGGAATGTTTGTGTTTTTCATAGGTTTGGCAGCCACCAGAGTTTCTTCACAGCTAGAAAGCCTCTAAATCCTACAAGCTGGTTAATGTCTGGTCTGAAAAAAATGACAAAACAACTGGACAATCACACAATATCTGATTTGAATTTGTTTATTTTGCAATTATGGCAGATTTCATAAGCAGTACAGCATACAGTAGATATTCTCTTCCACTCCTAAACGTAGCATGGCAGTTCTGCAAAAGCTTGTTTCAAACTTCTGTTGTTGTCGCATCATGTTGACGTCTTCTTAAGTTGCTTGACAAGTAAATTCAACTCAGGATTATTAGTAGGGGGCTAAACAGGAGAGAGAGAGAGAGAGAGAGAGAGAGAGAGAGAGAGAGAGAGAGAGAGAGAGAGAGAGAGATGTACTTTAATTTAAATGACAACAAAGTAATGCACCAACTGTCATCAACCTTGAGCTCAGTGCAAGCTTACCACTCTGAAAGAGTTACATCCCTCTATTCTTCCCCAACAGCCGAGCCAATAGCTTGGCTTCCCTTTTGGTGGTGGTCTTCTCTATAACAAAATGAGAATAAACAAAGCTTTAGTATACACAGAAAACCACCTTCTCCCAATGTGTGGAACATGTAAATATAAAATAACATTTATTTATTTGACATTTACACAGAGATAAAACATAATCTTCTTACCTCCCCAAGAGGCAGTTGATCTTCTCTAGGCAGAGCGGCTGCATCAGTAGAAGTGAAGGCAGTGATGAGCAGGAAAGCCTGCAGACACAACAGGACCAGCAGCACACCTTTGTCCATGGCTGAAGAAGTGAAGAGTTTGAAACACACACAGGTCTTAATATACTCACTGAAAACCAGCCAGATGAGGCAACAGGATACCACCACATAACAACATCAGAAAGACGTCAGAGGGTTTAATGAGCCTTCACATTAACACGAGACATTACTTCATCATTAATTACATCAGTTTGAGTATCAGTAACTCTCGACTCTCTCATGATGTTATGTTTGATCTACTTTCATCAGCACAAATAATCACCAGCGTCTGATCTTACACGGATAGGAAGCCCACAGACCTTTTTCCAGCCATTGTTTTTACTAATTAATGTTCCATTTAGTGTAGCAGAGCCTTTTCCAGTGAGCCAACATGCTCAACAGCTGCACCCTGACTCTGTTTGAGCTGAATGGAACGGAGCCTTAATGAGTGTCTTTGATAACACCTATGTTTACCCTACTGTTTCATGTCAGGATGGCTGCTGTGAAAAAGGCCTGTTGGTTCTGAATCAATGTCAGATCAGTCTTTGAGGTGAGAATGAGGCGTTTTTATTTACAGACGTTTCGGGTCTCCTTCCACTGAGGTCGCCATGTTGAACCACCATGTCTCTACAGAAGCCCAGAATGGAAAAAACCCCAACACTGACTTTAGATACGCCCGTTCTGGGTTTTTCCCACATTTCAGGCCCATTGTAGTTTCTCCTTCACACTGGGAAAGGGAGGGTGACATAAGTGGATTTCTAATCTGCCACTATATCTCTAGACACTACATCCCCTTAATCCTACACTCTGAACCTTTCAAACCTCATATTCTAGCCTCTGCTCTACTCTCTTTTAGGCCTTTTCCTTATCGTGCCCCCCTCTTCCTCTGCAGTAACCTCCCTGCTGACAGACAGACAGTGGGACTCTGTTTGAGGCCTTAAATCCAAACTTAAAACTCATCTTTTCGTCTTAACTGTCAGTTGGTTGCTTATTCTTTTATTTTTATCTGTCCGGTGGGTCGGTCTCAGTCTCAGTGGATCTATTAATGTAAGGTTATTACTTACAGTCCATGTTTGTCCTGCCAATGAGAATACTTTGAGGGAGTTATATACTGCACAGATTGTGAAGAAAAATGTGTGATATTGGGCTACATAAATAAAACTGACTTGAATAATCGATGTTGTAACAGCAGTTCATTCGCGTGACAGTAAAGTAAATGCTCTGACATAAACTGTTACTTAATCCTTTGGCACTTTCGCAGTGATTTGACCACATTTTAGTGTTGGAATCAAAGTAATTGCACCACCAACAAAAATGGGGAAGCATCACAAAAATGTCAACACCAAGTAAATGTAACTCTTTCACACTCCCTCCCACATATGATTTATGTATTTACATAACAAAACATTTTGAGTTTTGAGTTTACTGTTTAAATTGACAGACATTTTGGGTGTTTTTAAAGACAAATAATGTCGTATTGAGGTCGTTTTGGAGCCCAGAAAGGCTACCAGAAGATGTTTTAACATGCTGGAGGGAAAGCACAGTTGTAAATAACAGAATTAATGATCAATTAATCCTTTTCAGTTTCAGGATCCTGTTATCATTAATGTTATTAGTCAGACACCTTGTGTTTGTATCATGACAAGTCAAAATGTGTGCTGTGATAAAGCAAAGAAAACACCTGGTTTGAATACATTTTAAATATGAATACAATTAAATAAATAAATCTTCTTCAAGGTTATTAAAAGTCTGGTAACATGTCACATAAAGGAGCCCTGCAGAGCTTATTTTAGACAATGTACAAATATCAGGCTATTAATGTATTTACTACCTGTTTTATTTTATTTTATGGTATTACTTTATTTTGTCATTTATTTGGGGGGTTCTACTGAGTGCACTCTTGATCCCAAGAGAGGTATTGAGGGACACAGGGTGGGTATGAGGGGTAATGTTTGTGTGAGTTCAGTATGTTTGTGTGTCTTTAATAACGCAAAACTTAAATACAGTTATTAAAAAAATAAAAAAACGGTTTCATCCTTATCTCCATCCACTGCCACTCTGACCTTGTACATACACATTAATAAAACCTGTTTATTGCTTTCATTTGAGGCTCCGTAATTCTCCACCTGTCCACTAGTTGCCCTCAGCGAGTTTCCCGCTTTTTATCAGTCACCTGCTCTCCTCACTCACCTGCACACCTGCTCCTCATTATCCCATCAGCCCTCCTCCACACAGACACCGCCATTTCTCCAGCTTTACCTGCCTGTTACCAAGTAAACACAACTTTATCCTCAACTTCTGAGTCTGTGTTTCACAACTTTACAGTTATTTATGGAAGTTCATGTGACAGATAGAAATCAAGATACTGGATCTAAATCTTAAAAAAAAAAAAAAAAAAGAAAGAGGAGAAATCCACACAATGATCACCAGAATCCGTCTTTTATGTGGTGTTTTTTTCTTTAATGAAGTTAAACTTCGTTACACAAACACTTCACATCACTTCCATGTCGCCTGATTCGTCCGGTCCAGCAGGAAAACACACTGGAAGTAAATCCTGTCCACGTTTGATCCTGATTTTCTCTCAGAAACCGGGACCCGGCTGCCCGGATCAGACCTGCTGTGAAACTTCTCCTAGACTTTTAATGAGGGGAAAAACGTTTTCTTAAAGTCTTGGAGACAGATTATTTTGGTGAGAGCTCGCACTTTATTCACAGGAGGAAAAACGGATTTCAAAGGGTTTTTTGTCCCCGTTGTACGACTGAAGGCGCAGTTTCACCCGGCAAGACCGAGAGACTGATATCGGTGAGTTTTTATGAATTTAACTCTGTGTGACATATATATATATATATATATAAAACACCACTTTTTGAATGATATTTATAAGCTACAGTTCGTTGACAGCAGTGTGCACAAACATCATTACTATTACTGTAAATATTTGCTCATAACTTGTGTCTGTCATTACTCATGAGAGGAAAGTAGATTTATTTTCTGGTATTTATTCCACTTTGGTAACATAAGTCACAAGATCTAATGCATAAAAAGTCCTCATGTATTCCTCGTACTGGTTTCATGAATCTTGTAACAACTTTCTGCTGTATAATACAGTCTTATAACCAGGAGCTCCACATCCATAAGGATTCACTACAGACAACTGATCTGCTGTCATTGTGGCTTCAATCATAGAGAAGTGGGCCTCTACTTCATGTCTGACTGAGAGAGAGAGAGAGAGAGATTTCTTCCTGAGGAATGCTAATGCAAAAATACCCAAATCCTGCTCAGTGTTAATGCCTCTGATTTACTTGTGTAAGTGGCTTGTAGGATGTCAAAATAAGTTTGAAGGGCTGGAGGCAGTTCTGCACTCTGTAATGTAAACCAGGAAAAGGGGGGTCCTGAAATCTGATTGACCACCCTCATTATCTTTACCTCTTCCACTGGCACTACAGAGGCTGTGGTCAAAGTGGTCCCTTGACCTCTGACCTCAAGATATCTGAATGAATACCTGTGAGTCTCCTCTTTGCAGACATGCTAATCCCACAAAGCTTTTGTTATAAGTGCATACTGGGCTCCATGAACAGTATCAGAATTGCATAAATTGGGAAAGTTGAGACACATACTTAATGCCAACCCCTGTGTGTGTGTGTGTGTGTGTGTGTGTGTGTGTGTGTGTGTGTGTGTGTGTGTGTGCGCGCGCGCGCGCGCGCGCGCGCGTGTGTGTATTAGCTGCCAGGTTAAATACATATAATACAGTGGTTCATTCAGCAGACAGATGCAGGAGTGTCCCTGAGGGTCAGTTTACCTTACAGACAAGAGATAGGTGATAATAAACACAGAAAAATGTACAATAAGAAATTAAAAATAACCTTATGGAATAAAATACCTCATATAGCTGTTAATGACACCTCTTGGCAGGTGAAATCTCTGTCCTGATATATTTTAAATGAATGATGCACTTTATTTATGTAACATTTTATCAGCCAACACATCATGTACTGGACAACCTCTACAACTTTAGTTCAGGACAGTCATTTCCTGCTCTGATTTGTGTAGTTTTTCTCGATCTACTGTGTATTTTTCTCTCTTTTTTTTTTTTTTTTATAGATGATAAAAACAAGCTGATTGGTTGGTCAGAGGGGTTGAGCGACAGCCGGAGGTGTGTCAACGATGGGCCGTAAGTTAGATCTGTCGGGACTAACGGACCACGAGGCGGATCATGTGCTGCAGGTGGTGCAGAGGGACATGAGGCTACGCAAGAATGAGGAGGAGCGTCTCAGGTTAGTTCTGATCTTTGCAGGTTTGAGCCCCAAAGCAGCCTGCAGCTCAATCACCAGTTGAGTGACTTGACTCGAAAGAGGCTACACATCGATATTCAACGTGCTTATTTAATTCATTACATATTAATACATTTTTAGAGTCAGTTCCTTATGATTTCTCGTCCTCAGAATCTCAACTTTTACTGTTTACTCTCATTGTTTTTACAGTGTTGATATAAGCAGCAGCGGGCAGACACATTGAGCAACTAGCTGGTGAATATAGTGGGTCGTTTTAGCAGCTAAAGAGATATTTCCTTCAAGAGTTGGTAGAGACCAAAACAGAGCTAATAGAGAGTGAAAGTGGGCAGTAACCGGACTCCATGAATGATAATGTTGCTCCATATCTGCTGGATGTGTGGCAAAATTTAGAGTTAAACCTATAATAAAGGAGTTTTTGGTTATTTGAGGGCAGCAGAAACAAGTTGCACACACATTGACATACAGTGATTAAGTTGATATGGTTGATGATCCTTACTGCAGCAACACTCATTCATTCCTCGTTGTGTTTCTGGCCACCTGCTGAATATAAGTCTCTCTTTTAGCTATGTTTTTGGTCTCTACCAACTCCTGATCTGTCTCTTTAGCTGCCCACAGTGTTCACTAGCAAGTGGCTCACTGTGTCTGTCAGCTGTTTGGTGCTGACACTACATATTTGGAGCTTTTTTTGATGAAAACAGCTGCCTGCTGAGAGAGCTGTAACCAGAACAGAGTGGAGGGTTCAACAATGAGCTTTTTCTGACTCAAGAAATCCATGAAAGCCTGAAACAGAATAAAATTGAAGCTTTATAATAAGTTGTATAAGAAGTACAGGTTCACATACCGATTTTCTGTAACTGTTAATTATTTGGGGCTCGGTTTGCATTCGAGGCATCTTTGGACCTCTGTGGGTGTTTCCTATCCTGCCTCTCTACTCTGAAGTGTGTCCTTATAACAGTGGACAGGAAGTGACCTCCCTTTCCTGTTGTACTCAGACCAGCTTCCTCAAAACATCTATCCAGCCTTCAGCACATAAACACAGCGTGTATGAACACAAAGACAGAATAATATGCTAATTGGGTGGGTTTGGACTGAGTCTCTGAGGTTTATATCAACCTGAGTTTGGTCCGAGAGTGAGAGGGGAACATAATAGTAGGAAATGGTCTGTCTGTCAGAATAACGTGGTTATGTCATTTCCTTCTGACCCTGTTTTTAGTTGTTCCTTGAGCTTTATTCCCACACACAACATGCCTTTGCTTATTATGCCAGAAAGGCTTTTAGCAATCTATTCAAAAGATAAGAAATGGGACCACACATTCAAGATAAACTTAATGGCTGTAACTTCTGGAAGATTTCCAAACAGAGGAATAACTCGATGTGGAATTCAAGCCTTGTACACTGAGTGATAATTACTTGGAGAGCTGATAAACTCTGTGGTAAAATAAAAGTAGTAGCAGTTAAAGGTATTTTTTTGAGTTTTAGCTCTCTAGTAGCACTATGGACCTGTTTCCCCATGAGTTGCATTTTCTGTGCATGAGGACTTTTACCGCACAAAAGGTCTCATACTATTCCTCTGACTGACAGATGGCAGTAATGTGCCAAGAACAGCAGCACTGCACCTACAATGGCAGGGAAAAGCACAACTACAAGCTAGTAAACAGGGATGTAAACAATACAGAATATGTTCAAACTGTTTGTTTACAAGAAAACTCCACAGGACACATTTTAAGTAAACATACAAACTGAAAACTAAATTGCAAACAATAAGAAGGAAACTGGAGGAAGCTATAACGGCAGTGAGGGGAAAAGACACGTACAGAGGTAAATCACTGAGTGAAAAGATCAAATGAGGATTGTATAGAAATAATTTCACCATTTGGATAAAAATATTTACTATGTATCTAAGTCATTGATGCTGTGTGGAGACTTTAGAAAACAAATAGAGATAATCACAAAACCTCACAGGTCAAAAACTAAAATAACTACGAGGTTTTATTTTAAGTACAAGAGCTTTCAGTATCTGTAAATACAATATGGAAGAAGTACACAGATCCTTTACTTAAAGAGTTCTATGTTTTTATTGTACATACTTATTGTTATAAATGTTCTTTAAAAATACTCCATGACAAGTAAAAGTCCTGCATCCAAAATCCCAATAAGTAAAATACAGACAAAATACAGACAGAACATTTCCTGTCAGAGATTATCTTATTATATATGACATTATAAAATAGTTGATGCTGATGCTTCAATGTGTGTTTGTAGCATTTTACTGTTGCAGCTGGTTGAGGTGGAGATCATTTAATACTACTACTTTAGAGACAGTTTTGTCCAGTCGGGGCTGAATATGAATACTACCTCGTAGTAATAGTAGAGTATAATAATGTAGAGTAGAAGTAAAGTACCCTAGGATTTTGCTCTATGAAGATCCAGTGCCTTTCTGGGTTAGGGCGTCTATACATAAAAATGTCTCATTCTAAGGTAACAAACACAACAGTTCTTATTTATAGGTGGTTATAAACTAATGAAAACAAACCTATGACTATTATGTTCCATTTCTGCCAATAGAGCCTCCTAAATGTTACACACTGGACCTTTTTAATTACAGTATTTGGGTAAATGTATTTGTGTAAATTAAAAACTCTAATGTAGTTATGGTTACCCTTGTGACTGGAAGGTTTCTGGTTAAATATTAATGTGACATGAGGTGGTGAACTTCCTACTTTTCTTTCTCTGACTTCGAATGTGGTAAACAAGGTGTTTAATTACAGCTGATGTTGTTGTTGTTGTTTACTCTACCAGGTATGACTCGACCTGTGCTGATATTTGTCTCACAGGAAGACATTTTTAAAAACACATTATATTTTTATGTTTAACCTGCTGAATTATGTCAAACACATTTACAGTACATTTAGCAGAAGTACATTGACTGATGCGATCACGTACTATCTTCACATCTCACATCAAATCCCTCATGTCACGCAGGTCGCACTGCTTCCTCAGCCTAGTCGTTAAGTGAGTTCTTCAGTTTCTGCACCAACGCCCCCTCCTGCAACCTCACCGACTGTCGATGAGTGATAGACAGGGGAGTGTACAGGAGAGCAATCAGTGTCTACAGTTGAAAAGGAATTCAGATGAGTGATGAACACAGCTTTTTTTTTTTTTTTTTTGTGGCTCCAGTTGCGTAAGAGGAGCCTCTGTGCAACTGTCACTGTTAACTCAGAGCTGATCTGGACTGAGTGTTGCATCACTGGACAGGATCATTTGAAACATAACTGACACTGATATTATAATAGATGGATACAGTCTCTTCTGGCTTGTTCTCAAGATTGTTGCAACAGCGCTCTCTTCAGAGAAAAAGGGAAGAAATATATCAGCATGACGGTAGCAAGATTCATGTGGGTTATTATAACAGTCAGACTGAAAGGCATAATGAGCAGGATTTTCTCAAAGAAATGTATAGACTCACCTCCATCATCCTTTATGACCCACTATGAGTGTGTGGCACTGTTTGTATCTGCAGAGACTCTGAGAGCCCTCTGCCTGGATTTTCTCATTATATTGCTGTTTGGAACGTTTCGACAGATGAAATGAGACACACTAGGTGGAAATATCAAATTTCTACCATTACATACATCAAAAAAATAAATGTTAGTAGTGTAAAATGCAACTAAATGTGCAAGATTAACAGATCTTCAGATTCTCTGGTGGAAGTACTGAGGTTTCTGTGGCCGCTGTTGGTCAGTGACTTTAGATAGATGTGGAGTCACTCTTGCTGGTTGTTTTGGGGGTTCTGTAGGTCTGTATACACTGGAGGTCGGTTGTTTCTATATGTTTTGCTGTGATTTTGATGATAAACTGCTTGATTTTATTTACTATTTTTATTCACAAACACTTTTTATTTGCTTAATTTTCATGGGACTGCATTGTAGTTTTTGATTTATACATTGAGTGTGCTATAGATTTCAGAATGTGACTGAACTGGTTTTTCAACAAAGGTTTTAGATTAGAAATGAGATGCATGTTAACATTTAGAAAAAGACGATGGTGATTGAGGAAACTTAGGGAAATGTTTACAGCAGGATGCATGAGAGTTATAGTAGAGGGCAAAGCACTCGCATCGTTCTACAGCAGCAACACTGATAAGGCTGTCTGCAGACTTTATTTGTTTGTCAGCCAATGCCAATTATCTCAAAAGGCCAGAAAATCTAGTCTACATTATGTGCTGACTGTAGACACTGACTGTAGTCTATCTTTGCTGGGAACTGCTCGCAGCTTGCAGAAAAAATACGCGAGACCTTGATTCTCTAGTGAAGCGTGGCTGCAGCTGCAGTGTAAATGAGCCACCTGGTCTTGCAGGAGTGACGTGCTTCTACAAAGTGAGGAGGCATCTTAAAGTGTGTTGAAGGTCTTCAGGATCATCAGATTCTCTTCAAACCACAAAAAATTGTTTCAGTGTTAGAATTACTACCACAAAAAGTTCTGAAAGTGCCTCTCCATCTCAAAGTCCCGGCCTGAATTTCAGTACATCCTTGAATGTTTTTTTTCCTGCTCTGATTCACTGCTTGGTCCCCGATAACGACACTCCCTCTCTTCATTCACTCTCTGTCACTCAACATGCTCTCGCTGTCTTTCAGGAGGACTGTGGATCATGTGTTTACAAACAGCAACCAACGATTCCTACTCATTACCCCTTTAACTAATGCTGATACTAATCACACCTATTCCGTGCCTGTACGTTTATTTTAATCTGTATTCATGCTTTTAAGTAATCCATTTTAATCCTGTTTAAAGTGTAAAGAATGAACAATAACTAGTTCTTATAATCTCTGAAATAAAGTCGTTAGACATAGAGGACTGTATATGCATAGATTTTTACTTACACGCACAATAAACAGACTGTTTCTGGTATCCCTGGAAAAAAAAAAAAAACACAACAATTTAATGGCTTCGAGACATATCAACTGGATTCAGCAGCAGACTGGCCAAGTATGAATTAGTTATAAAATGTGGCACAAATGTCAGACTGTGTTTATCTTGTTACGTCTTCCAGCAGAATAACAAGTTCTCAGGGAAAAGCCACAGGAGCCGGTTCACTGCTACTGCACCTGATGATTTGGGGATTGCTGGCATGTGTTTCTCTGTTGTGCCACCCGCCCACACACAACATAATGCAGCACACACACACACACACACACACACACACACACACACACACACGACACATTCAGAGCCTTACTGTGGATGTTAATCCTGGCTGATTGGGAGAGGAAGTCCATGGAAGTTCAGAAAAATCCTGGAACACAGAAAATTAATGATGAGACAGAAAGAGACGTGGTTTTGTTGTGTTTTAATTATTTATACAGATACTACTCATCGATCAATATGCTCTGTGGAGGTCCAAAATGACCAAGGTCAAATAAATTAAATAAGCATACAAATAATCATGTAGATAGAAATTAAAAAGATAAACATGATTTTATTTTTATTTCCCTTAAAGTCTTTTTATGACAACAGTACAGTCTGACAATAACACTGATGACATAATAGTAAAAATTCTAAATGTACTTTTTAAATGTACTATTTTTCTGTATTTTATTTGACATATGACTTAATCCCTTAATATTTCTAATACTATGGTAAATTATTGGTTAGTGAATCTATTTGATATTTCTGAAACAATATTCAGATTAATCCTTGAAAGATTTGGAAGTTGCACCAACACACAAAAACTTGCTTCATAGTTTCTCCTTTGCGCTTGGAAATGGAGGTTGAAGTGAGTGAGTTGTAATCTGCAACTACACTGCTAGACAGTGTTGGGCTAGTTACTCAAAAAAAGTAATTTATTACTTATTACTCCCTGCCAAAAGTAATTAGTTACACTACTAGTTCTATTACTTTTCCCCAAAAATTGGTAATTGTGTTCCTTCTCCGCAAAATTGATTGTAGTTTGAATCGATTGATTGAACTTGGATTGCAGATCAATAGAGGGTGACAACAAAAGTAATATTGTAACTAATTATGTATTGGGTTGGTAATTATTACTGAAATCTATTAGTAATAAGTTACACTACTAGTTACTGGGGAAAGTAATATTACTGGTAATGAGTTACTGCCCAACACTGCTGCTAGATGCCACTAAATTCTACACACTGGACCTTAAAGGGGTCAAAACCTGATGTATTTGTAATGGGATTTAACTGATCTCTGAAACTCTGTCTATAACTTCAGCTCCCATCTAGTTCCATCATACACCTTTCTTACCCTGCAAGAGATTTCTCTCATCAAAACAAAGTTCTTCTCTTGACTCTAATAACTAGTTACCATCAGCCATCAATCCAGAGTTCACGTTAAACTAATGTAAACCAAAGTCTCTGCTTTCTACTTGTCAAAAGCAGCACAGCAGGTATATTTTCATGGTAAAAATACTAATATTATAAAATATTATGTTTAATAAACAATATGAATTTTCAACAACAGCTCCCAGTTAAAATCTTTAAACAAAAGAAAAACAAACAAATACCCATTCACACAAATGCAAGCACACATTAGTGGACGTCACATCAGCTTATCGCCAAGAAACAGACTTTTTTTTTTGAGGATTATTGTGGCTGACACAGCTCGAGCCTCTACTTGTTTGTTCTGTTTTTATGCCTGAAGCTATAAAGCTCCTTTAGATGGGGGTGTTCGAGGACAGACCTGCACTACAGATACTGTACAGACAACATATATGTTTCATGTCTCATAAATATTCAGGAGAGAGAGAGAGAGAGAGAGAGAGAGAGAGAGAGAGAGACTGTTAGCTTCTTGGCTGCTGTTTTGTCCCACAGAGTCAGAGGTGTGTTTACACAGGATACTATTATATGCATGTATGTTTCTATATGTTGTCTCTACTGTCTTGCATCTTTCTGGGGATATCTTACTGTGTTTGTGGTCTGCCTCAGAGTTATTTATACCATCCAGTGAGCTCCAGTAATGGAGTGTGCTGCTGTAGTGAGAGGGTGGCCGTCTCGCTGTCAGACAGGCATCTGAGGGACTCTGTTAAATTTTTATAGTTTGGAGTTACAGAAAATGTGGCCTAAAGGTTAGTGCTGTCAGAACTGCCTGTGTTAATGCTCAAGAAATGTTGCATTTAAAAAGTAATACAGCATGTAGAGCTGAAATAATTAATGGGTTAATTGAATCAGCAGCAATTCTGATAATTGATCAATTGTTCAGATCATGTTTTTGATCAAAAAATTTCCCAAATTCACAAATTTTAGATTCTTAAATGTAAAATTTGGCTGGTTTCTCTCTTCTATGTTCAGGTTTTCGACATTGTTTAGACAAGACATTTGAAGACGTCAGCTTGTGTGACTTTTTGACATTTTATAGATGATTAATTAATTCATAAAGGAAAAAAAACCAACACACTGCAGCCTTTTCTTGTTCCCAGGTCATCATATACAGATGCGAGCAACCACTAAATCCTACACACTGGTCCTTTTAATCGATGACAATGATTTATCAGTTTAAAGCTATAATAGTGAAGCCCATATTCTCGTTCTTCAGTCTTTCCAGAGTCACCCTGTTTGCGATTATCAGATGTGTGTTACAACCGCTTTGAGGTATTTTCTTGTCTTTTCTCGCTTCTTTTTTCCCCCCATAAATCACATGTACAAGTACACATCAGTTCTCTGTAAAACAACCATTTCAGGAACTGGATTTCCCTCAAGTGAATAGAGTTGTAATGTTCCTAATTGAACTTAAATCAACTTTGAAAGCTTTTTTTCTGCCTCTGTTCTCGTGTTGTCAGACTCCATCAGTCTCCAGCAGTAATCACCTTTAAATGATTCAGTCTTGGCTGATGCTCCTGCAGCCTTGATGTGAAAATAATGGATTTTTTTGACACTTTCCTTGTAGCGCTCCTTGCACCAGTTTCCATTTGTCTCTCTCCCGCCTCGATCCATCTTATTTTTCCACTGTAACGTCGTATTTCATCGTCTGTAAGCTTCTGTTTCAGATGCAGTGTATGTGGACGCTTCAGTGCTTCTCAGTCGTATTTCTATGAACACAACAACATGCAGGTGCACCGGCAGTATGTGCACATAAATGTTAAACTTGCATTTAACATGTGAGTGCATGAGAATCTGTAGTGAGAACAATGTTTTGCTCTATTGACTCTGTTGCTGAATACAAGAACCCTTGAGGCTTTCAGTATTAGTCTTCTGTTGTATTTACTGTATGTTACAGAGATAAAGCTGAGGTTAAAAGGTCATTCTTGACCTTAGAAACACCAGTTGAGTAAACTCTCAAACTGCTTTCGATCACATGATCTTCATCATACTTTAATGTCTTTTCCAGCCCTCGACGTTGTGGTGGGATTGTTTTCTCACACAACAATAGAAGTTTCTTTACCATCATCTATATACATATACAGAAAAGCTGCTGCTGTCGAGGAAAAACACTGATGTCTTATTCATTATAACTTCCTACTTTAACCTTTATATGAGCACAGCAGGCTATTTATAAATGGATGTGAAATTATCATTGCTCTGCTTAAACATTCAATCAGACATTTATGAATGTGGATTTCACTTTTGTTAAATCTCTTGATGGCATTCGGACTTAATAATGTACATTATTATAGATATTGCTGCTCTTTTCAATCCTCATTTACCTTCTGAAGGATATTTATAAAATGATTAAATGACCGACTTTGTGAAACCACTTCAATTTCTGCTCCATTTTCATTAAAGGGAGGCAGAGGATCAGCTGTGTGTTTATGTGCACTCGATGTCCTCATTGTTATAATCATCCTATTTGATATTTCTGATCCCACTCACTTTCTCCAGTATACCCAGACCTAAACGTTTGCCTTTTCTTCCCTCATTTGGTACATCTCTCTCTCTCTCTCTCTCTTACACACACACATTTGTGGTTTCACCATCTTTCGCCTTGTAACCATCCCTCCCCCTCCTTCCCCACAGTGAACTGAAGCAGGAGCTGGACGAGGAGGGCAGTCGCTGCCTCCTGCTGTCACGGCAGAGTTGCTTCAACCAGCGCTGCTGCATCCGCTGCTGCTCGCCCTTCACCTTCCTGCTCAACCCCAAGCGCCAGTGCCGCGACTGTCGCTACAACGTCTGCAAGGCCTGCCGGGTCTACAACAAGCAGGACAAAGCGTGGCTCTGCTCCGCCTGCCAGAAGAGCAGGTAAGGTCGGGCGGCGGTAGTAACGGTGGAAGTGCGGTGATTCAGTGTGTGTGTGTGCCAAGTACATGAGGCTAAGTTAAGGATGAGAGTCTGACAGTGACGTCAAAGGTTATTAAGGTCTTACTCTGCTGCCGGAGGGATGGATTTAGTTCTTATTACACATAACATAAGATACAGTACAGGATGAAATATTTGTACTCAGCTTATCACAACATGACAGAGAGAAAGACTTACTAGGCTGTGGTGTTGGAGGATGTGAAACAACAAAAAAAATTATGTACAAAGGCAATTCTCTGTTTCTTTTATTATAAATGGTCTTTTAATGCAGCCTCTCATGCAGTTTCATGTTACAGAAAGCCTCTAATGCACCATTCAGAGGTTCAGATTTCAAATGGTTCACTGTATTTCCGTGTTGTTGTGGAGTATCAAGTCGTTTAACTAAATTTATAAACAAGGCAAAATCTATTGGATGAATTGGAAAATGTATGTGTAGTGATTATTTTAATAGGATAAAACTAGACTTATTCTCTCTGTTTCTTGGTATGCTAGTAAAGAACCACATCCTGAAAGTGTTTATAACAATCCTGAACGGTAAAAATTCACCTGTCATACAGAGGAGCAGATGTGACAATCGTTCAAATTAAATAACAGCACAGACTTTAAGACTGCCTATCCTGGGAGGAATTCATGGTGTTGCATTAATTTGTGTGTGTATATATAAATTATAGAATTGTGTAAAGAATGAAAAATGAGACCTTGACCGGGAAGTTCATTGCTGCATGATGTAGACGTGGCTATATTGAATTGTTGGTTTTTGGAAAGTTACAGAAGTTGTTAAATATAGCCCCCAAATTCAGACATTGGAAAGGTAAGTGTGTGTCAGTTAAAGTTTATTTAGATAGTATATTTAATGTGCTGTTAAACTATTGGACCAGCACTTTGGTTGAAGCATACTGACACTTTTATTGCCAATAAATCCCTTGGAACGACCACAACCAACAATGTGTTAGTCCGTCTTTATACCCAGTCTGTGGCACTCCAGCTCACTGGTTCCTACTGAAGAAAGGGACACTGTTGTTTTCAGCAAATAGATAGATAGATACTCAACATGAGTACATTTTAGATTTGTTGGGAACTATTTCCATCTGCGAATTAATACACATTCTGTGATTAGTTTACAACAGGATGGTGTTTGTCAGACTAACTCAAAAATAAACTACAGTGCCCACATTCATGCTAATAAAGGAACATATCACACAGTGCAAAATTATGACTCTCCAAAGGGTTTCAACAGTGTTAGGACAACAATGGAGATCTATGGCACACAGATAAGCTATATCAAGGGTTGGCTACAGAATCAGTACTAGTTGGTAGAATAAATTCATTGTTGTTTTCCTCTTTTAATGGGTTTTGTTAACAAATAAAATGAACCTTTAAAACCTATAATATATGGATTGTATAATACTGTATATTATATTACAAATATTGTTTACTGTAACTTACAACTATTAAATTAATTGCCAACTATTTTGATAATATCTATTTTATAGCTATATCTATATTATGACAGTAAACTGAATATTTTATCTTTGGGTTGTGGACAAAAGACGTTTGAGGAGGAAAATAAGTGAGAATAATCACGAGTGGAAGCCCTACTGTAGCCAAAGTCCATTCTCTATATGCACTGAGCAAGTTCTGGATCATGGGTGGCTGCAGATATCCCAGCAGGCATTGGACAAGAAGGAGGGTAAAGTCATAGCAACAAACACCTGCAGTGTGGGCAATTAAAAGCTTCACATTCATTGGTGTTAGGCAACAATACTGACCACTAAACCTCAAGAACCCATGATTCAATATAAAAAACTCAGTGTTTACTTGGAGAAATAATATTGTTTACTTCCATCTCCGCTATCGTAGTGATGAGGGTAGAGACAGAGTTGACACGAGAGCTGGAAGTTAATCCTTACTGACTCCAACTGCCTGTGTGCGGAGATGCCACAGACTGTAGGAGTTACCTAAAGATGGGTCACACTTAGTGTACATGCACTCACTCAGCTCCCTTCACACAGCAACTCAACCGCTCAGTGAACAGATGGTAACTCATTAAACATGCTGACATGAATATCTACCCCACAGCTGTCATTCCTTAACATTCAATTATACCCTACTTCTTTTTAAAGGTCCAGTGTGTACCATTTATGAGGATCTATCGGGAGAAATGGAATATAATATTCATAAGTGTGTTTTCATTAGTGTGAAATGACCATGTTTCTACAGTAGCCCAGAACGGACAAACGCTGACTCTAGAAAGTTTCTCCTACATGCTTCACAGTCCGTTCTCATTCCCGGGTTGTCAAATACGGACACCAGTGGTGCTCAGTTAGTTGCAATCTGAAACTTCACCACTAGATGCCACTAAATCCTACAAACTGGTCTTTTTAATGTCAAGTGTTTAAACTTGGAGGTACATAAATTAGGTTTACATGAAAACCTTCTTTGATAATATGCCTGTTAAATTAATAATGCTTGAGGAAGCATAGTGGCTTTAAAGGTCCAGTGTGTAGGATTTAGGATTTGGTGAAGTTGCAGAGTGCTCCTCTCCTTCCAAGCGTGAAGGAGAAACTGTGGCTACAAACTGTGGGGCACACTGTATTTTGTTTTACTACCTTATATATTTTAGTTAGTGTAAACAGCAAAAATAAGGAAGCTGACATAATTATTATCATATAGGCTACTGTAACAATTATCTTTTTCACTGCTATTATAAATGTTTCTAAGAAATATTCCTGTACAGTTATTCATCTGTGATAGCATTACAAATAGCAATCGGAAGTGAACTGGAAACAGAATAAGAATAAGATACAGTAAACTGCTCTGTTTGTTTGTCTCTCTCAGGTTGTTGAAGACACAGTCACTCGAGTGGTTCTACACTAATGTGAAGAAGCGCTTCAAGAGGTTCGGCAGCGCCAAAGTGCTGAAGACTCTTTACAGGAAGCACCTGGCGGGGCACAGTGCGCTTTCAGATCTTACTGGTAAACTACTCTGTTCATTAGAGCTGCGACTGAAGCATGTCAATTAACTTCAGTGATCTGACTAGTTGAAGAACCAGTTGGGTTAATTAAGGGTTAACCTTCACTCAGAGTTCTTAACTTGTCTTATGTGACACACTTTGGGGAAAATATGACATCTGAAATCCTCACGACTTGTTCAGATCTTTTCTACAAGCCTAATCCTGTATTGAATGCTGTAAACAGATTATAGTAGGGAGGATCTACTTTCATGAGAAATTATGTGTTCTTATGAGGAGAATGTGAACATTTCTGTGCATCTGTGATTTTTTTTTTTTTTTTGCTGTCTCATTTCTCAAAGCAGTGTTATAAAGAGAGTGAAACAGGATTAAGCTCTAGCTTCGCTTTCATCTCACATAACATCATCAGATTACTTCTTCCAGAATCCAAAAATAATTTTAAATGTTTGTTTGCTTCCTTCTGTGGATGTAAAAATATACCCATATCACCGATTGGTTTGACTGAGAATGACTTGTCAATCACAAGGTAACTGTGCCCTGAAGCAAACCGAGCTGTATCGTCTATTTTACTCTAAATTGAGCAATAATTCACAAAATGAACATCATGCTGTTTTGAAGAAGACTTTAAACTAAAATAGCGATTGAGAACATAAACTCATCAAGAATCTTTAGTGAGCTAGAGTGAGAAGTCAGGCCATTTCTCCATAACACTCAATACTATTGGGCTCCTTTTCTTGCATCCAATGGAGCTGCCCCCTGCAGGTCAAAAGATAAAATGCATGTTTAAGAATAGCAAATTAGTTTGAAGATAAATTATGACTTTAAAATATTCCTCTTATATTCTCTTAATCAAATTAAAGAACTTTTTTTTTAAATTCAAAAGTAACTCTAGCCCTGCTGTCAACTACGGAAAACGGTCTCATATCTCTTATCATGTCTACTGTTATTTTCCAACCTTTTTCATTTTCTGTCTGAAGCTAAAAAGCTGCTGCACATCAGATTTTAAACAGCACACAGCATCCTCAATTTGATCCTCAATTTCAAAGGCTTTGCCTGCGGCTGCCACGTCTTTGCTCCTTCTTTTAGCAACTTATATGAGTGACATAACGATAGCTCAGCTTGTTTCTCTGATAACTTCAGATCCAGACGTCTGATGACTAAAATAATTAAAAACAACCACAACACTTAAGCATGCACTAATGTGATATGGCGCAGGTTACCCGGGGAACTCACCTTTACCTGAATAAAATGAGTTTGATCATTGTTGGAAACACAACTCAACAAAATATACAACATAGGTCTAGTGTTTATAGACATTTTAATGCAGAAATATTACATATAATAGCTTTAATGTGACACCTGTAGCACAAATACAGGCAGGGTTATAGGAGCTTTGCTGCAGCCAGCGATGCTGAAAATGTATTTGTATTACTATACAGTGCTTTGAATAAGACTGTTCACCCAGCAGCATATGCTCCGGCATGTTTCTCTAGTCGGGGACAGAGTAGAGGAGTGCGTCTCCAGGCCATTAGTTCAGAGTCTCTGGTCTGATTGAACAGACAAGGGATTTTCAGAGAATTATGAGTGTTTTGTGGAGGCGAGGTCGCTGGCTGCGGATGATGCAGAGCTGTGACCCCTGTGGGAGGACGACTGATGTGGGCTGACCACCATCAGGCCACCGTTCAGCGTCTCAGTGCAGTTTACATAGCTCGGTTTTCATTTTCAACTCACATACACACACTGTATCATACATCTTAATTTGTTTATGACTGACCCGCACTGTAAATTCAGCAGTGTTTATTCAGCTGCCAAATCCGATCTGCATCGTCTGACTCATGGAAAGCCCTGCTAATGCTTACTTTGCATAAGAACAATGCGAGCTGCATGAATAGCATCAGAAAATAATAGAGCTGACATTTAGGAACTAATAGCTGTGGGTATAAGGCATCATCTTGTGTGAGATTTGTGCAGCAGTGAGACATTCTGACTCAAGACACTGCCATAGCCCAGCAACACATTGTCCTCTAAAGAATAAAGCAAAATAACAACTGAGGAGCAAGAGAATGCTTACAGACGTTAACATACGTGATGCTGATTTTGCAGTATAGAAGTGCAGACATTGAGAGCAACATAAAAGCAAAGAATCTCTATGTCTAAAGAATTTCTATAAAATCCAGACCAGGCGTCCAATTGAGACCTGCGTTCATTTTTATATTATATATTATATTATAGTTCTGCAGGTATTTGGTAATAAACTCAAGTATCGGACAAATATAAAATTCAGAGCATCTCCAAAGTTATTACAAATCCTCCTGAGGGACATTAATCTGTGCACTGCATTTCAGGGCAATCCCTCCAGCAGCTGTTTGAACACTCAAAATGACGAATGTGAACCTCAAGGTGGCGCTCTTGTCTGCAGTGCCATCAAGTGATTGTTGTTGTAGACCAACTGAGTGAGTTTTATATTGAAGTAGAGTGTATAAGTACGGTACATTACAACGTCTGCTCTGCCATGTTGTCATACACTTGTAAGGTTTTTTAAAACGTGTTCAACACTGAAAGAATAATTTTTAGAGTTGCTTCTCCTCTGATTTCCAGTTTTCTTGAGGATCTTTGGTTTGAATTTAATTGTTATACTTTATCAAGAATGATAAACATGTATGATCATAGCTTCTACTTGAGTTAATCTGCATTTATGATACACACATTTCTATGTATAAACATATTATAGTTACATACATATACTCATGTATGCTGTCAGCTCACCTTCCTGGGAGTCTCATGGTGCGTTCAGGGGTTACTGTGACCTTTTAGCTGCTGTGGTAGAGGCAACTGTGTTGGTCATGAGTCTTTTTCATGTCCGTGTGCTGGGGCCAAATGTGTCCTGACTCATTAGATGTTACAACACAGATGTCTGCACTCACGCGCACACATCTACCGGGGGTCACAAAAACACAATCCATGCTCCAGCCTCTAAAATACATAGAAGATCCTCATGTCTTCTTTAATTACAGGATATCTTCCATCAGTGAACTTGTGCTTGTCCATAGGGTTTTTAGCAAAAAAGGTTCATATCACTTAGTTTAAGTCCCCTCTGTGCCCTTTAAAATGATTGGAAGTGACCTTGTGTACTCTACCGTACCTCCGAACCAGCGCCTCCCGCACACAGATCAGGTCGCCTGGTAATACCACACGCGAAGCCGCTCTAATGCACTTATATAACCACAAATGGCTGCATTGTTGCATGAATATTTACTCGACGTGAAAAGAGCTCAGGGCTCAGAGTTGGAAGGGGAAACTATCTACAGTATGACTGAGCTCTCTGCTGCTTCGTCAAGTTCAAGCCATGAATTTAAAATCTCAAAACCTTCTAATCAAAAGGGATCCGGTCCAGTTGTGCAACTAACCTTGTTCACACTAAAAGATGACAACTGTTCTTAATTCTGCTTATAAATAATTATATTTTATTGTTTTGGGTTGAATTTTTTGGAATAATTACCTTTTTCTATTGACAGGACGAATGAGGTTAATTCTGTGTGAATCTACTGTATCTGTTTGATGTATACGTCAACATCTGTCAACATCTGTGTGTGTGCAGAGGGCAGCGCCTACGAGGAGAGTATCTGCAATGAGGGCAGCGTCTGTGGGAGCGACTCAGCCTTCTACAGACAAACTGAAGGTGCATATATTTTATCATAATGTTACCGATCCTCGTTTACAGTGGACTCATTTTGTAATCGTATTTCTGTGTCAACACCAGTTCTCTAACACTGTAGATACTAAGACATATTTTCGGTTGACATAGGTTCATGTAACATTTCAAATAAACTATGCACTTAATAGCAGAAGAAACAATATAAATGCTACAAGCCTCAAGTTTATCCTGATAAAGGGCTTTAATAATAATAATAATAATAATAATAATACTTTTTGAACAATGAACCTGTAACCCTTTAGGGCCCCTGGGGCAGTTGTTCTATTTACCCGGTTGGTTATTCAGCCTTGTAATACCATCTCCATAAGAAAGTCAATGCAGCTGACCCTCTGAGGCCACATTATCCAGTTAGAGGTTATTTTGGGGTCAGTGTAATCCTCTCATGAATCCATAAACTCATTTGTTCCCAGCTGCCCTGAATCTATTGCTTTACAAGAGCAGCTGAGAGACGAACATTGAAAATGATTCTTGGTGTTATTTTTTCGGTCTCTCTCTCTCTCTCTCTCTCTCTCTCTCTCTCTCTCTCTCTCTCTCTCTCTCTCTCTCTCTCTCTCTCTCAGTTCACTGCACTAACAGGATAACTGACTGCAAACATGAATGAAAAGCCGCAGCAGCCGGATGTTTGCGTCTGTCTGTAGCGTCTTAGTAACGATAACGAGGCAGCGAAAACAGATTAGTAGCACAGGGCTTGAAAACGGAATTAAACTGAAAATGATGCAGTTACTAATTGGAAAGAGTGAAATTTGTTTTTTGTCTGATTTCAATTTTACTTGAAGGAGAGTTCAGGTAATAACAAAACAAGTGATTTTTTTTTCTTTGTGTTCAGAGCACAGCATGGCAGAGACACTCACTGTGGCCTTGCGGGTGGCAGAGGAGGCCATAGATGAGGCCATTTCCAAGGCTGAGTTTGACACCGCCAATGAGGTTATTTATGTTGTTCACATCTTATAAATAGTCCGTCATTATGTCGTTTATTGGTTTGTAATTTAAGTCTTCTATTCAGTCCTTTCATCAAGTTCCTCTGTAATCTGACGTATAGGCTCTTTCTCTTTGAGTTAGTTTGACTCAGATTATGGAAAACCATCAGGATTATTCTGCAGTCCAAATGACAGTTTAATACTACAATATACTACAAATCATAAATAATACTTTTACTTCACAATTTAAGATTACGCGTCATAACAAACTGTCTGTTTCTGGGAGCTGGTAAAATAACAAAGAATTAAAATGTATGAATGTATATTTCCCTTTAATCCCTGTATTTTATACTCTACACATTGTAAAGTACTTGAAGCTTTTGTTTATAAATCTGAAACCCTTCGTTCACAAGATTGATCACTATTAATTTAATCTCCTTAAGATACTTTATTCACTAACATTCAAGTGTTCAACGGGCTCCATGTCCTGACGGTACATACAGTCAAATTAGTAAAGCAATTTAAATCGGAAGAGCAAAACAACTCTGCTTCAAGAAAATATAAACTGCATCTGAAGCCTTTCTCTTAGTGTTCTAAAATATTATAATAATATAATAGCTTTAAATTGACTATGTATGTTTTCCAAGGTGGCTGAAGAAGCTTAATGCACGTCTTCTATTGGGCGCTCACAACACAACATTTCTTAAATATTCTAAATATTTATAACACCAGAATCTTTCTAAAATACTACAGCTAGAAACTGTATGTTAGTAAAGATTTATTACTTACTAATCGGTGGAAGGATCCTTTTTGAATGGAGTAAAGAAATACACGTATGTTTAGAGGCGTAATCCGCTTATAGTGTGTATTGGTGTGTGCATAGTGCTGAAAAGCTTTCTTATTTGTGTGTTTGTTTGTTTACTAGGAGAAGCAGAATGAGGCGCACTATCTGCGGGAGCACAGAGGAGAGCTTATTGAGGAACTGGCCAAAACTATTGTGCAGAAAGTAAGAAAAAATAAATAAGATGTTGCTGTCTGAGCTGCAAACTCTCACTTTGTACAGTAACAGATGTGTTGTAGTGTGTGATTAGGCTGATTTACTGTGTGGGGAAAAACAGTGTAATACTCCACAGCTGTTTTGCAACAGGGTGATGTGTTCAAATTTATAACACCAGCACATCTTAAACCAAAGCCATGAATTTTCTGTATGCAATATGCATTACTAATCATGTCTCTGTCTCTCTTAGATTATTAGTAGGAAGAAGACTTTGACTGAGATGAAGGCAGAATATGACCGTGATTGGCCTCTTGAACAGAACACTGACCTTCATCATCATCAGTCCGCCTCTGATCAAGCCTCTAGATCCCTTAAACACCAACCAAACCTCTGGGTAAAAAAATAAACACTTACAAAATCACGATCTTTACATGTGAAAATAGTAAATGTACAGGGGCTGTGCATTTACTCGAGTACTGTACTAATACTTATTATTACAGATTAAAGCAGTAGTTCCTAACCTTGGAAAAGTGTCTATGCAGAAAAATGTCCCCTCTAAACTTCTCAGATGGTTTAATTTAAATAATTATTAGAGACCCAAACAGGTAAAATGATACAATATTTCTCTCACATCCCCTTAAATTTATCTTGTGACCCTTTAGAGGGCCCAACACCGAGGTTTAAAACCACTGGACTAAACTAACAAACTGTATATATGGTTTACAAAACTAGCTCCACCAGCTACAACAGTGAAATGCCGCTTACATGTAAATACATCAGTATTAATAATCTAATAACATCCTGTATAAACCTATATATCAGTAACTGGGACTACTGAACGAGTATTTTTAGATTCTGCCGACACTTTTATACTTGTACTTAAATAGGATTTTAAATTGAGGAGCTGTGCTATTGGTAAAGGTTGTCAAAACTACAGAATCAGTTAATACCACATTTAAAACTATACGTTATTATTATTCAATAGTATTAAAAGTACAGAAGCTTTAAAACAAAGTTTTTTTTGGCCTTTTATTGGCTTTATTGGATAGAGACAGCTGTAGATTGACAGGAAAGGTGGGTAGAGAGAGAGGGGATGACACGCAGCAAAGGGCCGCAGGTTGGATTCGAACCCGGGCCGCTGCAGCAACTCCGTATATGGGTCTCCAGTTCTACTGACTGAGTTAACCGCCAAAAAAAAAAAAAAAAGCCCAAGGCTGCAGAGATGAAACAACGGGGAAGAAAATAGATTGAATAATAATAATAATGATAATAATATCAATAATAATAATAATAATAATGTTAATTATTATTGACATTATTACAAATGTGTTGCTATGTTTTCAGTTACTTTTTCTGTACCAAAACTGTGTGCAGGTTGTTAATTTTATAAAATTGTCTTTTTGTGGTATCAAAAGATGTCTTGAGTGTTGTTGTTTTAATAGTTTTATTGTATAAAAGTTTAAAGGTCTGTTATGGTGACAATCTTAGTATTGGTACTTTTGCATTCCTGAGAAGGAAGAATAATGTTGTGTTTATCTGACTGCACTACTCTCATCTGTATGGTGACATAGGCTGACCTCTGCTGGTAAAATGGCTCTACTGACTTTGATCTTATTGCTGACATCCAGGGTGCCTACAGAGTAACTGTGACACAACACAAATGTATTTTTCCACTTTCCAGTGATTTGTTTGTCATATGTCTCTTCTCAGAGGTCACACTCTGCATTCTCACTGTTGGACAATGACACTCGAGGTCTGATACAAGACTCGTCTCTACAGGCCTTAAAGAAGGAAGGAGGTGCGTCCGCTATGTCAACCTGGAAGAGTGTAGACCGGCTGGAAAACGCTGGTAAGATCTTCTTAAACACTGTAACAGGAACTGGTTACTTTAATATTTGATTTACTACCGGAAGCAAATTCAGTTTTTGCTTAGAAATTTAATGAATTTTTTAATGATTTTAAATATAACATTTTTGAGTTGGTTGTCAAAGTAGCTGCTGATACATCAAGAAATTAGTAAATTAGTCCCTCCAGGAAGTTGTGATCGCAACAATTAATGCAAATTTAACCAATCCCTGTGAATTCAGCAGAACCTTGCAATATTGTCCAATCAGTGTAACTTTTCTACAAATTTTACCATTTGTAGTTTCCTGTAAGTTGAACTGATCATAGCAGTCCCCTGTGCACAATGTTGAGCCATACGTCACCAAACTACTAATGATTTTATTCTCACTGGGACAAGCTGCCTTTGATTTTTAATGAATTATAAAAAAAAACAACTGTTTCTGCAATTTTTTCCACAATTTCATTACAAAACGCTGACATTTTTTTAGAAAAGCTGCAGTGAAATCATATAAACAAATAAAATAGAGGTTAGGAGGTCAAATATAAGCCTTTCTATTATGAGTGAGTTATAATTAATATAATAATCAATGTCAGCTAATACCTGCCTCCACTATGTTTGTTTTTGTTTGTTTATGTTGCTGCATGCTTGACTGTACTTTGTGTGGTATGCTTGTTTGGCATGATACGTGTGTGTGTGTGTGTGTGTGTGTGTGTGTGTGTGTGTGTGTGTGTGTGTGTGTGTGTGTGTGTGTGTGTGTGTGTGTGTGTGTGTGTGTGTGTGTGTGTGTGTGTGTGTGTGTGTGTGTGTGTGTGTGTGTGTGTGTGTGTGTGTGTGTGTGTGTGTCTCTGTGTGTGTGTGTGTGTGTGTGTGTGTGTGTGTGTCTCTCTCTGTGTGTGTGTGTGTGTGTGTGTGTGTGTGTGTGTGTGTGTGTGTGTCTGTCTCTGTGTGTGCGTGCTTGCGTACGGAGGTGTGTCCTCAGTGCTGAAGAGCCCCGACGGGAACTGGATCGCCCTACAGAGCGCCCAGCTGTCACGTCCCAGCCTGTTGACCAAAAGGAAGAGCCTGGTCTTCAGTGCCTTGGAGAAGGAGTCCGAAGTGGTGTCTGCCTACGAAGGCATGGGCTCTGACAACGAAACCAGACCCGAGGCCGACACCTCCTGGAGTGCCGCCCTCCAGCAGTTCCACAAGAAGATGAATGATTCTAACTTCAACCCGCAGGACTCTGACGACAGGACCCCGACCCCGCCGATGGACCGCCGAGGCAGCGAGGACTATCTGTTTGCAGACTATGAGGGGAACTGGAAGCCTAATAAACCTCTGCTGGCCCTCTTCAGGAAGAAGGTGCCCGCGGAGATCCGGCGACCTTCATCAGCCCCAAGGACAAGCATCATTGACATGAACTTTAACGTAGATGGAGCTGGCGAGGAAGAGGAGGAGAACAAGGTGGTTGCAGAGCCGGAAGTGGAAAAAGTCAAAAGATCGCGGAAGAAAAGGAAGAGTAAAAAAGAGTCTTCTTCTTCTGTGATGGTAAGAAATAAATCACATTAGACTACAAACTGATGAGATATAATGAGAATGAATTATTATCTTAATTATTCACAGCAGACACTAACAAAATAATGATATAGCCAAGATGGTTTTATATAACCATGTGAAACTGCCAATTCTGGAACAATAACATGTTAAATTTCTTGTAAATCTTTGTAGTGTTCATAATAAAAGCAGTAGAGTTGTTAAATAATATGTGTAGGATATAAAAATGTAATATAAATATGTGAATGCAGAACTGCACTTGCAGGAAAGTGTATCAAAATATGAAACTAATTCCTTTAGAACTGAAACTATTTATGATTATTAACTATTTTGATAATTGAATGATCGTTGCAGTTGTTTAATCAAGCAAAAATAGCAAATATTCTCTTGTTTGACCTTCTCAAATGTGTCAGTGTGCTGCTTTTCTGTGTTTTTTAATGATTTTAAATATAACATTTTGAGTTGGTTAGGCCAAATGAGGCATCTGAGTTTATTTTGTTGCTTTTTTGTTTGTTTTTTGGAATTTTTTTGACCAAAGGATAAAAATGTAATCAACAGATTAATCAAATATGAAAAGAATCATTAGATGCCACCCAAAATTGCTTATGAACTAATTATAGAAATTCCTGCACTCTTGCCTTCCCTCGTTTGGTATTAATGGAGTGGACCAAATACTCGGATACATTTCCATTATAAGCTGCCCAAAATGCTGAATCTACAGTGATTATGAACATATATTTTTATTTTCTATTATTTCTTACATTCAGGATTACAGTAAAAAAGACAACCCCTCTGATGCTGTGACCCCTGACACTTTGACCTCTGAAACCCCGTCCCTTGAACCTTTTGACCTTGAGAGTGATGTCACCGGACACAGAGCCAATCAGACGGACCGGGAGCTTACGTTAAAACTACAACTAGCAGGCCGAGTTACTGACTGCTCTACTGGAGAAGAAGAAGTCGATGGAGCGAGGGATGCTGGTAGTGATGGACAGACGGAGGAAAAGAGACACGGAAGCGAGGACAGACATGAAGACGACGAGAGGCTGTGGAGCATGGAGATCGACTTGGATGAAGGAAGAACGGAGGAGGAGAAAGAAGAAGAAGATGATGAAGAAGAGATGAAAGACAGATTATACATGCTTGTCGCACAGTCCAGACTCACATACTTCTCCTCCACCGATGATGAGTTAGACAAAGTGGGTCAGAGTGAGGAAGAATGGGAGGCAGGTAACGGTGAAGATGAAGAGGAGGAGGAGGAGGAGGAAACGACGGACAGACTTGCTTCTAAACTCTGTCAGCTGGAAAGAGAAGTGAGAGCGAACCAGTTCTCCTCCACAGAGGATGAGCTGGACAGAGTTGGCGTCATGGATGAGGAGAATCACACAGGAGAGGAGGAGGAGGAGGAGGAGGATGGGAAGAATGAGGAGCTGGCGGTGAAAGTGTGCAGATTAGCTAGCCAAGTCAACGCCACCCAATTCTCCTCCACGGAGGATGAGTTGGACAGAGCAGGTCGAGGTGAAGAGCGGGAGGAGCCGACAGACGGAGAGACACTGTGGAAACTGCAGGCAGAAAAAGCCGTCCACGCTGCTCAACTGCGAGATTTGTCCAGTCTAGTCAGCTCTTCTCCGTTTTCTTCCGCTGAGGATGAGCTGGATAGAGTTGGAGAGAATAAGGTAGTAGGTGAAGGGAGCTGTATGTGGGAGGAGGCAGTGGGAAAGAATAAGGAGAGGAGAGAATCGTTTGGACATTTGGATGAGAAAATGTTTGATTTAAAGGATGAAAATGAGAAAAGAAAAGAGAGCAGCGATAAAAATGAAACGACAGAGAGCATTTGGGATATTCTGACTAAAGATGTCCAACAAGGCAAGACGGAGGGAAAGAAAGATTGCACGGAGGAGAGAGTAACAGAGGAGACTGAGGATGAAAGGATGGCGAAGGGGGATGTATGTGGAGAAAAAGTAGATTTGAAAGAGGCTGAAAAAGCAAAAGAGACAGAAAAAGAAGAGATGGAAGCAGAGAGAACGGAGGAGATAATAACCTTAGATGAGACAAAAGTCCAACAAGAGAATCCGCCAGAGGCGAACTGGCCAGACAAACAGGAGGGAGAACTGAGACAGGAAGAGGAAAAGATCAGTGAGAGTCAGGAGGAATGGGAGACAGCAGCAGAAAGCGATGAGGAAGATGAAGAATTTGACAGAATAATCAGCAGCATGTTGTTGATGACTTTGGAGGACATGCAGGGAGAGACATTAAAGGATGAAGCCGCAGAGAATGGGAGAACCGATGGAGAGCCAGAGGAAGAAGAGACAAATGTAACAATAAGGGGAGAAAGCAGATTCGCGGACAACGTCACGCAAAGCACAGAGGAGACAGGAAGTGCAGAAGAGTCTCAAAGTCGAGGCGACAACGTGATGCCAGAGTCGGATGGAGAATATGTAACTGAGCAAATTGGAGGAGATATCTCCAGGAAAAAGGAGAGTGGAGACGCTACAGGCGGAAATGAAAATGGGCAGCAGGAAAAGGATACAGATGCACAAGAAAATAGAAATTTTGCAAAAGAAAATCCTCTACTTATGGCAATTGAAGAGACATTTGATGCCAAACTGACATATAAACAAATAGTAGTGGATGACGATGAAGAAGAGGACAGAGAAGAAGTCTCGACTGAGTGGCAAATGATGGCAGAAAGTAAAGAAACGGATGAAAGACTTGAGGAAACCAAAGAAGAAAATGCAGCCGACGTGGAGCAGAGCAGCACCTCGTCCCTTCAGGAGGGTTTACTGTCAGCAGAGGAGATTCAAATCGTAAGCATTGTAGCTTCTAACTTGTTTTTTAATCTCACTCTGGACAGTGATGCATACGTGCAACATTACATAACAGTCAGTCACTTACAACCACATGTCACGGTCTTCATCAGGAGAAACCTGGTCAGTGGGTGTCGTGTTGAGATTAGACTTCATTAGACTTCATTTGAAAATTACCCATCATCCCATAGCTGCCACATGTGGCCACAGCAGAAGTAACATAGGCTCACTTTTGATCTGAGTAACTCTGCTTATTAACTTTTCTTTGCAATGTAACTAACTACGTAACAACTGACAATCAGCTTGATGCCGATTTTCTTCTGCCTGTGTGTTTTCTTCTCCTGTGTGCTGTAGGGTAGTGACATGGAGCTTTACAAAACAGTACAGTTTATATCAACTCTGCTGGAGAAGGTGAGAACTGGTCTTGCTTTAGGAAGGCAGCGAGGTGATGATTGCTCACTTTTTCTTTTACTTTTTTCCCCTCATTGCTTTCATGTTTTTCATGCATGCAACTCATTTCAATATGTTGTTGTTCATGTATTTTCCACTTATTAATGTATCACGTGTTAGCCAATCACTTTTACTCTACCAAAAAGTGTGAATATAACTTTCTTCTTTCCTTTTTGTTTTTAACTTTTCAATAATGTGTCTGCTTGAGTTTAATTTAAAGCAGTAAAGTATTTTAGATTTTTCCCTTTAATTTAATAACCTGAGTTTGACTGAAGAGCATTAGTGTCCCAAAAACCCTTCAGTGTACAAAGTTTAAGGCTAGTAATTACATAAAAAGGTCTAATTAGACTTTATTATTATACTGCAAAACATCAGGTATAACAAAGACATCACTCAGCCTTCCTGTCTGTGTGTTGCAGAGGTACTCGGCGGTGTCTCTGCGCAGCATCACCACTGAAGTCCTGAAGGTGCTGAACGCCACTGAGGACCTGCTGCAGGGAGTGGAGGGAGGAGACGACCCCCAACTCTGCACCTCCTCACTGCCCCCCAACACCGACCCCAAGAAACTGGATCAACAGTTCTCCAGACTGGAGGAGAACGTAAGTTCAGCTTTATTTCAGTTTCCATTTTATTTACTGCACATTGCACTGTTTGATAAAACTGTGACACTTGTGTGCAGTAATAATATACTGCAGACCAGCTCAATCTTAAGCTTACAACGTCTGCATTACTGTCTGTAAGGAGCAAAGATGATAGATTGACACAATGAGTGCAGTTAAAGATCCCCTCCAGACATGTATTAGAAATAATTTCCTTTTGTACTCTAATCCTCTTCTAAAGATTACCATAAAATGCACTTATGCATAGGGTTTCATTTTATAATACAGTAATTGATTAACTAAGAGTGTTAAAGGGAACCTAATGCACATATTTCCAGGTTCATATTTAAATTTTGCAACTCCGTCCTCTGGGTCAAAAAGTCTGTTTAAGCTGCTTCTTTAATGTATGTAAGTTATGTATGTATAGTGATTCCAGTAGTAACCTGAAAGTGGACGCAGCAGGGTTTATTCACATATCAGAACTGGTTCTGAAAACTTGAAGGGTAAAACGAGAGTTATTTACATAATTGCAGTAATTGTTTTCTATTAAAAATACCACATTATGAAGTTGGTCTCGTGTTGAACTGGATACGCTGCAGGTGTACGTAGCAGCCGGTTCCGTGTACAGTCTGGAGGCGGAGCTGAATGACCTGGAGGAGTGTGCCAGGGGCATCTGCAGTGGCACTTCTGATATGGAGCTGTCCTTCCTGGAGGAGCAGGTTGCATCAGCAGCTGCCAAAGTTCAACAGTCTGAGCTACAGGTGAGTCGATGCTGCACATTTTATATTAAGTGTTTTGATGCTTTTTATTAGATATGAATACTTAGTTACTACTACTATGAGCTGTGTGATGAGTTCTGGTGTTTAAAAACATAGATTTGCCTTATGGAAAGATTAAGAAGTAAACTGTAACACCAGGCTCAATCAAACGTACTGTATTTGTGTTGTTTCTGTTCTAGATTTATGACATCTCAGCCAGAATTGCTGCTTTGAAGAGCGCAGGCCTCGATGTGGACCCTCAGTCACGCACCACTAAGACCAAGACCATTTCAGTTACGGTGCTGTACCTCTTAACGTTAATATACATCTTAACGTTAATATACATCTTAACATAGGAGTATTAACTACCACAACATTATTCTTGTATAACAAAAAAACCCCTATGTTTCACACACATCTTTCTGCAGCCTGTCACCCTCGACTCATCTAGACAGCTGAGAAGGCGATTACCTGCACCACCAGTCAAAGGTAAGAAACATACTTAGTTTAGTGTGTTTAATGTAATCAAAATGTGACTTTAGAAAGTTACTGAGCTGCATGATATGGTAAAAGTCCTATTGCCATATACAGCGGGTAAAATAAGTATTGAACATGTCACCATTTTTCTCAGTAAATATATTTCTAAAGGTGCTATTGTCATGAAATTTTCACAAGATGTTGGTAACAACCCATGCAATCCACACATGCAAAGAAACCAAAATAAATAATTTCAGAAATTAGTTATGTGTAGTAAAATGGAATGACACAGGGAAAAAGTACTGAACATGCTTACTGAAATTTATTTAATACTTCATACAAAAGCCTTTGTTGGTAATGACAGCTTCAAGACCATTCTTCTGCACAAACAGTCTTCAAATCTTGAACTTTCTGTGGGCCTCTTCTATGAACTCTGATCTTCAGTTCTTTCCATAGATTTTCTATTGGATTCAAGTCATGTGATTGGCTGCGCCATTCTAGCAGCTTTATTTTCTTTCTCTGAAACCAATTGAGAGTTTCCTTGGCTGTGTGTTTGGGATCATTGTCTTGCTGAAATGTCCACCCTCGTTTCATCTTCATCATTTTTTTTTATCAAGAATGTCTCGGTACATTTTTCTATTCATCCTTCCTTCAATTATATGAAGTTTGCCAGTGCCATATGCTGAAAAACAGCCCCACACCATGATGTTCCCACCTCCAAACTTCACTGTTGGTATGGTGTTTTTGGGGTAATGTGCAGTACCATTTGACCTCCAAACATGCTGTGTATTATAGCATCCAAAGAGTTGAATTTTGGTCTCATCTGACCAGACTATATTCTCCCAGTATTTCACAGGCTTGTCTAAATGTTGTGCAGCAAACTTTAAACACGCTTCAACATGCTTTTTCTTCAGCAATGGTGTCTTGCGCAGTGAGCTTGCATATAGGCCATGGCGGTTGAGTGCATTACTTATTGTTTCTTTGAAACAATTTAACTCTTCTGATAATTCTTTTCTCTCCTCTGTCAGAAATCTTGCGAGGAGCACTTAGTCGTGGCCGGTTTATGGTGAAATGACGTTCTTTCCACTTCCGGATTATGGCCCCATCAGTGCTCACTGGAACATTAAGAAGTTTAGAAATCCTTCTGTAACCAATGTCATCAGTATGTTTTGCAACAATAAGGTTGCGAAGGTCTTGAGAGAGCTCTTTGGTTTTACCCATCATGAGATGTTTCTTGTGTGACACCTTGGTGATGAGACACCTTATTATAGGCCATCAGTTGGGACTGAACCAGCTGATATTAATTTGCACTGACAAGAGACAGGATTGTTCTCTAATTACTGATAGATTTCAGCTGGTGTCTTGGCTTTCCATGCCTTTTTGCACCTCCCTTTCTTCATGTGTTCAATCCTTTTTCCCTGTGTCATTTCACATTAGTACACATAACTTAATTTATGGACATCTATGGTTTGATTTCTTTGCATGTGTGGATTGCATGGGTTGTTAACGACATCTGGTGAAAATTTCATGTCAATAGCATCTTTAGAAATATATTTATTGAGAATAATGGTGACGTGTTCAATACTTATTTTACCCGCTGTATGTTTTTTGAAACACTAACGTGTTTATTCTGGGGTCTGACTTGAAAAAGATCCCTGACTTACTACACACTCCTAACCTGCTTGGATTTATTATGTAGTATACACATTATTTCATCAGTTTTAATTTAATCTTTGGCGCTCCAAACCAAATAGTAAGTATGTTTAAAGAATTAAGTGAAATTACTGCCCCAAAATAATTTTAAAAATGCACTGATTTAGCATTTTCCTGCTATTTATGAAATATCCACCTATTTAAGGATCCAGTGTTTAACTTTTAGGAGGATCTATTGGCACAAATGAAATATCAAACACTGGCTGTAGATAGAGCTGTAGTTTCTCCTACACACACAGCCCGTTGTCATTGCTATGTCATCAAATACAGATGCCAGCAGTGTTCAGTTAGTTGCAATTTGGACTCTAAATCCTACACACTGGTCCTTTTAATGAGAAGTACTGTTTGACAAATTTACATTAAAAGTACCTCAGATCACTTCGTAATTGGATTATGAATATTCTATCCCTTTTTGTTTCTTTCTCAGAAGAAAACGAAACGTAGATCACGGACCTCGCAGGACCTCCAAGTGCCTTCACCGTCACTCTGCAGCCTACAGGCCAGTCTCAAGTGACCCATTCGACACCAGTTGCCTTAATGTCATTTTTAACTAAACATGCCTCAAATAATTCGTCAGACTAGTACTGTACGTATTTGGTGGAGTTGTGCTGTATGTCACTGACTGTTGAATCACGTGTCATCGTATCAAAATGTAGATTAAACTACTTTATTAGACTGATGATCAAACCCTCAGCTCACTAAATGTAAGAACAACAAAATGACTAACATTTGAGTTTAGAGAGTTTTTTTAGATTTCCAAAGCGTGAGAAAACTGGTTAAATTATACAGCATGTATACAAAACAATCCTAACATTTTAATTTTAACATCACTAGTCGTCTATTTTACTTGCTGACGAATAAAGCTCAACAAATAGTGTGACTGGAAAGACAGTAAAAATATCAGCTGTACAGCTACTGAAGAAAATAAAATGAATGCAGTTTACACTGTTTTACCATTCTATCAAATATACAGATTACACATACATGGGAACAATTCGTAGAAAAACGTTGCAAGACTACACCATGTCTAAAATAAATATAGATCTGTATTTTTCTGTGGATGTTTGTAATGTTGTAGTATACATATTTGTTTTCTGCCTTCATTAAGTTCAGAAAATAAAGGAAAAATTCTCAAAGTTTGCCGACGTTTTACTTCACTGTGAAAATATTGAGATAAACAACAGTGAAAACACTGTGCACCCTGTTTGCCCCTCAGATGAAGGTGGGTGTAATGGTGAGGAATTTAGTCTGTATTTTTGAGATGAGGAAATGACACCCGAATATGACATTCCTCCTTGTGAAGAAGGTGTGGGAACGACACATAACGGCTCTGGAAAATAACAGCCGTCTTTGAGAGAAATGGTCTCAAAACAAACATTCAGCAGCCGTCACACCTCACTCTTTGTGATGCTGCAGTAAACACGTTTTTATCTTTTTTCTGTCATGCAGTCAGTCCAATGGCTCACCGAGCTAATGCAAACATGAAGCCAAACTGTTATAAGATATTCTGTAGTTACAATTTCCTCACAGAGGTTTGATGTTTTCCTCTCTGAATGCTCGAATTCTTAAAAAATGAACTCAAGCAACAGCCGAATGGAAACAAAAAGTCTCAGCATTTCAAGGAAGGAATGCTTACTTGCACAGAGAACCAGCTCTGTCCCAAAGCCTTCTGGGATATGTAGTTTTGGTCAGGAGCTTTCTGAGACTAGGAAGCGCTCCCTCTGATCAGGAACTATGAATCCTTCTTTCTGTTCACTCTCTCTTCTGTCTGACATGACAAAAGACTGTTTGGGGTCGATGACCACCGCGCCATCTTTGTCCTGACCGGGAGCCTCCACCTCGGCATAAGAAGGGTGACCGGAGCCCCGCCGGAACTTCATGGTTGGCCAGCGGGTCGGCCGCCGCTGATGGGGGGGAAAAGAACGACAGAAATAATAATGAGAAAACCAAATGAAGACACTGCTGTTCCCAGCTTCCAAAAAGGCCAAATATTTCCATCTAAATCACACACAGTGTTAAAAAAAAAACATTGTATCCCAGTAGTTGTTGATATCTTGCTAGAAGATCAGTGGTTCCCAACCTGGGGTTTGCAAGGCCTTCTTGATTTTCAGGGATATAAGAAAACTTCAAAAATAGACACAGTAGGCCTATATCTCAGCATTTGGTTCACTTCTGTGAGAAAAAAGTAAAGTACATTTTCTAAAAGAACAATGGCTGACCTTCAGGGACAAAAAACACTTAATTTGACAGGTAAAAACCTTCTCAACCCATGTTCATTGTACAGTTTTGAGTATATTAAATATCCATAAACTATGTCACTTAGTCAGGGGGCGTCGGTACTAGATGATAGAAAATGGGTCCTTCAAGGAAAAAGGTTAGGAAGCACTGCTCTAGATTACATTGTTGGAAGGACCAACCTCTTATCTTTAGGCCCGACTGCTTGCCATTCATTTTCCAGTGAATTTATTTTGACCAATAGTACATGAGGAGATGAACAGAAACTAGGAAGAATTAAAAGTGCATGGTGCTCTTTCAGGGGATTTTCATTGGGTTAGTACAGAGGTACACAGCAGCTGGGTGTCACCAACCTCCATGAAGAAGATGCTGGCGCTGGAGGTCGGGTGGTTGTACATGTAGACAGACAGGAGGACAGCTGCTGCCATGATGACCGTCACCATGATGATGCCCGCCAGTAGACCAATCTGCAGCTGCTCGTGACTCTCCCCGGGGGTCTCCTTATTTTCTGCTGTACAGACGTGATGATGAGACTCTCAGTGATATTACAGACCAACTCCACAGACCCAGCGGGGGTCAAGAGGAGTAATAAGAATAGCACACACATGCAGATGTCTTCACTTGTTTGACATGTGCCATCAGAATAATAACAATGCTGTAATCACATACAAATCTTGAATATAGTGACTTTAACGATTTGGTTTCACACTAAAGTTTCAGGTAAATATGTGAGTTAACAAAAATAAATAAATTGACTTACGTGGTTCATTGATGTGCAAAGACATCTTCGTGTCATCTAGACAAAAAACGAGGACATTACATATTATTTTAGATGATATGACAAACTATTAGTAGTTGTAAGGCAGTGGTTAGAAACGTTTTCCTTAAGGGACCCCTTTCTTCTAAGGAGTAAACCAACGACCTCTGATACAGTTTATGGCTATTTCAGATTTTATTCAATGCATAATTATAATAATAATAATAATAATAATAATAATAATAATAATAATTAACAACAACAGTACAGACCAAATGATAAACTATACCATTAACACACAGTGAACTCAAAAATGCAGGACATCTCTGTAAAACGAGATCATTTCCTATGCATATTGTATTAGAGACGTTTTCCTGATAGGAACTTTTTATACAATTCTCTGGCTGTATTATGTATTTTAATAGTTTTTATAATATATATTTATAAAACATACATACATATAATAGGCTTATTTTTGGGGGAAATTGTTCTATTAGCTCTTTGGTTGTTTTAACTGCGTACTTTTCTGATGCAGGACGAGGCTGTTTAGCAGAGAGTGAAGGCTCTGTGAATATAGCTTGTGTTCGGGTTTTCAAAGTTTATATCTTAAATACAAAAAATCGTTACTTTGGTAGTTTTTAAAGTGGATCCTTTTAATTCAGTTTTTAATAAAATACTTGAGTGTACTTGACCTCATTAAATCTTTTTAGTTCCCCACAGGCATCACAAATTGGAACAAAAAAAAATGTTGTCATTAACTTTGGGACTTTTTTAAAATACCTGTACGTTTAGCAAAATAACGCATCAGTAAAATAACAGTGATTTTGTTTGAGTAGGACATTTCAGCTCACAAACAATAGCCACCACAGCCAAAGATAACAGCCGTATATTCTGACCCAACTAGAGTGATACACATACATTTAGTCATCCTTCAGCAGCTGAGGACACTATGCAGTATTTAACATGGCGCTGTATACACTCAGCTATGAGCTAACAGAGGGCTGGGAAATAGCTGACCACTTGACCCTCTCACTGTCAGGCTTGACACAACACACTGGGTGTGGATACCATGCAACAAGTCTTAATTCGTAGGATGGTAATGAGACCTGCCCCGCCTTGAGCAATGTAAATGAGATAAAATGTTAAAGACTCAAATTAAAATAATAAAAGAACCATAACTCTAAATACTGCAGTTTTAAACTAATTCACATTTGGTTTACTACAGATGATATGAAAGCATTTGTCAGCTTACCTTCTGCAGGTTTGCTGGTAGGAGGCTGTGGAGTGGATGTTCTTCTGCTCGTGCTGCTGTGTATTGAGGGTTTGGTGACAGTGGACGTCTTGCTGAGGGAGGTGGAGGTCATGCTGGAGGTCTTCTGCTGCACTGTGGTCGTAACAGGAGTGGTTGTGTGTGTGAGGTGAGATGTGGCGTTTGTGACGTCCGTCTTTCGGAAACACAAGGGATCTCTTCTCTGGACAAAAACAAACATCAGTAAACTCTTGTACAGACAGATGGAAGCTCTAACTCAGTTAAACTTTATGTAGTTTACTTAAATGCAAAAATAACGACAACCTCCTCCGGGCAGCCGAGGTCAACCCAGTCCTGCCGGTTACGATCAAAGCCACTGGAGCACCTGAGAAAAGTAGTAAATGTTATTCATGTATGGAGAGTATAGTGGAGCTGTAATTACAGGTTTATCTTCACAAACATACTTAATACTGTAGACGAGTCTAAATCAAGTGTTGGATTTTTGCACACAACCAAATATTGTTATTTCTTAGCTAACAGCTGATGATTTGTTGATCGGGCATTGTTTAAATATGATATAGTGATCAGAATCAAGGCGTGGGGATTCATGTATAATATACTCACTTACATTTAAAAGTCCAGTGTGTAACATTTAGTAGGATCTATTAGCAGCAATGGAATATAATACTCATAGGTATGTTTTTGTTACCTTAGAATGAGCCGTGTTGAACCGCCATGTTTCTACAGCAGCCCAGAATGGAAAAACTAAATGGTTGCAATGTGCAACTGCAACACTAGATGCAACTAAATCCTACACACTGGTCCTTTAATTCTCCCCTACAACAGGGCAGCATGTAGTAAAGCAAAAGGAAAAGAACAAAGCCTTTGTAAATTAATTTAGTCTTAAAGGATACGTTGATATTTTTTCCAAGTCACATGGCACACACTGAAGATTATTGGTCTTGTGATTGTTCCTCCTGTACAATTATACATAGTCATCAATCTATGGAAAAATGCATTCAATGAAGCTAACACGAGGCTTCTAAGCTGGCCGTAACATAAGATATCCACTTAATTTGACCCAGGTAGACCACTGACTGTCAGCTGGCTGTAGATTTTGTTCCCCCATAACCTACATGGAAATAACTTCTCAGTCTCTATGTGGTCAGTATGAACAAGAGGAACACTTACAGCAACCAATAACTTTAAACTCTTTCAATACTAATATGGGGATTTGAGTATTATTTTTAAACAGACTCAAAAGACTGTGAATCTATTTTTTAATGTGCAAACCATTTACTGAAAAATTCATTAATGTTATTTTATATTCCATACCATTTTCCCATCATTGGTTGCCAAATTGTTGTCTTATTTAAAATAAAATACTATAATTGTTGAAAACACTGTGCAATAGCAATCAAAATTTAAATCATATGAGCAGACATCAACACATACACAGTATTTGTGGAATAAAGACTCACTTACAGGAGGAACAACAGCAAGTTGATACATTTAAATAGCTATAACTTAGTGGTCATAATATTCCCAAACAGGATTCAGGTATTTTTCATATAAAGTCTGCAAATCGACTAAGACTGTTTCTATTTTAAAGACAGACCTGGGTTCAGATACAATTTAAACATTCCTAAAATGTTCTATTATTTAAAATAAATGTGATGAAATGTGCCGTCGGTGGTACATTATGTGCTCTCCGAGTGCTTTCCAGTTTACCTTTGTAGCCGACTGCACCAGCTACAGTTAAAGCCAATCTGAGAAGTGACACATGGTCCACAGCTGGAGAACTGGAGACATGCTGAGAATAAAGAAAACAGTGAATAGTGAGGAGGAAGAGGCGGCTTTGACCTTTGTAAATTAAACCTGAATACATTTTTACCGGCCATCTGCAGCTGATACTGTATTATCATCACAATGTATTTTTTTTATTTTTTTTTTTACAATTTCACAGGCTAACAAAAGTATAAAATATAAAATAAATGTTCAGATTAGGTTGATCCAAATATACAGAATGGATGAGAATTTGTGTGTAAACTGTGTGTTTATATTAGCATTAGATGATCTTTAATATACTTTAAATATGAATAACTTACTAGGGAGAGGTAACATCTCCACAGCTGTAGAATTGGAGATTTTGGACTTGAGCATGTCGACTTTGTGATACTCATAAATGGTTCTCCTCCGAACATCTGGAGCATGTCAGAAAGGATACAATGTTGTTAATTATTAGTGAGCTCCGATGTTTCGATTAATATGTTGAATTAGTAATTCAAGAAGTTTTAAATATATATTTTATAGACCAAATGTGTCACTCACTCGGGATCTGCTCGATCTCGTGAAGCACCACAAAAGCATCTGACAGACCAACTTTGACAGGATGATTCTCAGTGCTGATGTCGTTGATGTCTACAGGAATCTATTTAAATACAAACTATATAGTTAAACAAATGTCACATTAACAGAAGAACACGAAGAAGAGAAGAAATGTCACCTCTTTGTATACAAATACGATGCGTCCGTCACTGTGCAGAACAGCCTGGAAGGTGAAAGTTCCCAGACTGATGTTGTCCTGCAGGTGAATCTGGTTCCACTGAACCACCAGTGCTGTGCCTGTGGTAGACATACATAAGCACACGCATACATTTAGAATAAATAATCTACAGCAGACGCACAAACAATAAAGGTTTCTAGTTGTTTCTCTCACCGTTATCAAAGTAAAACACAGTCGAGTTATTCGACAGACTCGGGTCAAAATTCGCCATCAGGGGGGCGATGTACTGAGTGGCTGTGAGCATCCGGTGGATTATATCTCCAGTGTAAATGAAACCTGTGAGAGGAAACATGCAGAGGTTGCCATCAGTCATTTGCATGCAACTGAAGGAGACGTATACAATATTGATTTCAACTGTGGAAACAAACTAGTTCACTCTGTAATTTTGAATCGTTTTCTCAGGTATGTTTGCAGGCTAATCTAGTTATTCAATGTATACTGTTTGAATTTAAGAATTTTGCTCATGCAGAGATAGAGTTGAAGAGAGGTTGTATGGAAGCATACCGACACTGATCATAAAATATAAAATATAATAAAATATTATAGCATATTATTGTAGCATAATATTATCAAAGCAAATCTGTGATGCAGGTCTCTTAAATAGTATCTTAAAAGCACACACACTATTGTAATATACGTATGAAATGTGTGGCTGTGAGAAAAGTAAACAAAACTAATAAAACTTCACTTTAAATTCATAATATAGCTCTATACTGTATATACCTGTAGCTCAAATTAAGACATCTCTAACTGATTTTAATAGAGATTAAGCTTCATGAATGAGCTCACAACTAGATAGAAAACATTATGTGTGCAGGTAAAGACGTCTAAGACCTCCAGTTGCCACGGTGATTTCTTTCAGGATATGACCGTAGAAAGGGAAGTCGAAGGAAAGGTTCACTCTCTGAAAACAAAGAAAGGGAAACAAGTGCAATATCAACTGTATGTTAAAGATGGTCTGTCATATAAACTGAAGACACATTATGTAAAATAGCTTATAAGTAGCATTACTGGAACTCAGTGAGTTAACACAGTTTTTGTTCTAATCTGAATAACTTGGAAATGTTTTTTTTCATTCAGGAAAATCAAAGTAAACACTGATTGTTCCATTCATTCACACATTTCATACCTCAGCTTGTCTGTGGGTGCTGGACAGGAAGCCACTGACCTTCCACTCATCCTCTTCCATCTCATCGACGTTCACCCACAGCTCTTTACTGGCTGCGTCTCCAGGGCCGTAGATTTTAGATGTATAGTAGGCGTGATCAATGTCCTGTCCATAAATGTAGGGATTGAAATGCTTTAAAAAAAACACACATTTAATCGATATTATGGACAGAAAATGTGAAGTGGAATTATGGGAACAATAAAAAAAGTGTACATTCGTGCCAGTAAGGCTTTCAAGTTTTAGATATTTTTAAAGTATTAAAAGTAAAACAGGCAATGCTCATCAAGTAAACTCAAAGCCAAACTCAGTTTTGTTGCTATCTTCCATAATATTACATCTTCTGGAAAATGTTTCAATCTGCCTTTTTTTCTCTCATCTAGGAGACTCAGTTTTTGCTGTTAATTCGTAACATTCACACTCTCTTATTATTTAATTACAACAATCATCCCAGTTTTAATCTGTTTGCCTGTACCATCATGTTGGATGAGAGATTTTTTTTTAGCTCTGTCTCATTTTCTAAAACATCAAAACGCAAAATAAATGTCTGGTCGTTGTGAAAGTTCAACTATATTATATTACTAACTATATTATATTGGGAATATTATAGCAGAAAGCTTCAAGAATCTCTCTATGAAATGTAATCAAACACATTCTTTCTTTCTGTGTTTGTTACATTTGTTACCTAAATGTCCCAAACTACCACCCTATTTACGAGTTAACATCCTTGCAATGTCTATCGTTCCTTCATCTGTACATCCTCTCTCTGCTGTAAATAACTCTACCACAATCTGCGTAGAGTTGTCGTGTCCCTCCTCCATCAACAGGTCTGGATCTGACTCCTCTGGTTGGTGCTGGTCTCTGTAGTGGCCCCTCTTATCTGCAGCCCAGCCAGGGGCCCCAGACCTGGTCCTGGGTGCCAACCTCTCTCTCTCCCTGGGCTCGTTGTTCCCTCCAACTACGTCCAACCTTCCCTCAGGAGGAGACAGCTCCTGTGTGTCAGTGCGGTAGACTCCTGAGGATTAAAAGAGAGGGAGAAAAGTTATTGTTGTTTTGATACCAATATTAATTTAATGAGTCTTTAAGAACGATTATTATCAGTAAAATCAATCATCTGGGATCTGAGCTTCTGGTGGTTACAGCATAAACACAAAAAGCCTTCACGCATCTAACCAGCATTTCCACAAAGTTGTCCAACAACACACTGATCCGAAATAAATCAAGAAAACTGAATTATATTGTCACATTAAAACCCTTAAGAGAAAACAAAACAACTCAAAAACCCAAAAACAACATATTCAGCCTTCCCTCCACAATATAAGTTCTCACATCACTTCACATAATTTTTTAAATATGAAAAACAAGGAATGTTTATAATCAGATGACCATTTCAGTAATTTATCAAGTAACGATACTAAACTAAACTTTTTCCGTTCCGGCTTCTCAAATATGAGAACTTGTATTAAATCATTGGAGATAAATATCTTAAACAAAAAGACAAAACAAGCTCACTGAAGACTCGAAATGTGTTTTGAATCATATCTGACTCCTTGGTCCGTCTTTACAAACTCATATAACCTTTTTCAAACTAGGGATGTCAATAACGATTATTTTTTATAATAAATCATTCTGCCAATTATTTTCTCAATTGATGGATTGTTTGGTCTATAAAACATCTTCAGATTCCTTGTTTTGTCCAACCAGCCGTTCAAAATCAATCTATAACAAAAATGCTGATTCTCCCACAATGAATCGATTACATTTTATTTTAATCAACTATTTAATTCATCATTGCAGCTCTAATTCAAACCAAACAAACTTCAACTTAAAATCTTCCAGTTCAACCAAATATGTGAGGCTAAATTCTGGGGATTTCACTCAGAAAACACAGCATAACTCTTCAGTGAAGAAGTGAACCTGGTACACACATTATAAATATCATACAGACAGTGTGGAACAATAAGATTATTTTAACAACCTTAAAGCTGCTTACGGTTAAATAAATATGTAAGACTGTATGTTAAAGGGAACTCAGCGTGGAAAACGCTCCTCGAACATCTCAAACTTGCATCTTCCTCTCACATGCAACAGGACATAAACAATTCCCCCAGCGTGGGCCATGTGGCAAACATGTGCGGTCGCCCCCGTCATTCTGTCCTTTCCAGTGACAACAGTGCGTCTTAACTTTTCTCTTCACAGCAGAGGGTGAAAGCATGCTTCACATTCTTCACACCAGCAGGTCCAGGACCAGGCATGCAGCGGTGGGTGTTGTGTCTATATTTCTGTCACATGGTGGCCCTGTAGCAGCCTCATAACCCCCCCCCACCTGTGTGTTAGTGTGATGTGCTGATGCTATATAATGTGTCGCAGCCAGTGCAGGTTTCATTGTCAGTGCTGGGTATACACAGGGATATGGAGCTTTGGATATACCCCTCTCATGTGCATCATTCAGTAGCTGAAGTAGCTGAATTGTGTGATCCTAGGATGGCGAAGGCTGGAGGGAGTAATGAATGTTCAAAATGCATTATTATGTAGTTGTCTCACCTGTTTGTGGGCCAGTATTGACGCTAAATCTGCACCTCTTCTGTGGCTAATGTTAAATTCATAATGATCAATGCTCCCTAGAGTCAAGCAGCATTAAGTAACAATGTGCAAATATACAACTGGCCCATTTTAGGTGAACTAAATATGCAAGACTGGTTTTAAATGTCCCTGTTTGTTACACAGGGCGCATATCGTTTGCTGGATGGGCCCCTTAAAAAGAAATTGGGACATAAATTAAGTGTATAGCCACCTCTCTCCAAGCATCATTACACCACTGATTGTTAGGAAGAGGGAGCAGTTTTATTGGAACTGTAGTGACTGCTTCTATACTGTAAAAGTCAGCTTTATCATAAAGTTAAATACAGCTCAACACTTACAGTTGCAGCATCGTCCACCGTTTCCTTTTCACTTAAAATAAACCAAATGACGGCTGCTTCAGTAACACACCTGAGTCTGATTACACCTTAAATGTCTGTCAGCGACCTTTACACAGTAAGGACTCCCCCACCTGGTGGTCCGAAGGTGGAAACACACATAAACACAGGTACATACATATCTTAAATGTATTATTTATTTACGCCGATATTTGAGGTAAAAATAGAAATTTAGAAGAAAGAAAAGAACAAAATACACTTAATAATGTTACACATATATTTTGTTTTTTGTATATTAAAGAACACATTTTCTGTAATTGCCATATTCAATTAAAAAGTATTAGTAGTGGCATTAAACAAACCTTATATCTTTTAAACCAGTGATTCATATGTATGAAATGTGATGATAATTAAAAGAAACTGAAACATCCACGAACATATGACGCAGTAACTAAACACAGGAGTTTATGTTAATGTTAGGTCGGCTGTATTATATAACATTAAATAACTTCAGCAGTTAAATGATGAAATAAAAACATTGGGTGAAAATAATATTTTTCTCCTACAATGTACAATATCAATACTTAACATTTAACTTTAACCTAACTTAGACATAAAATGCGCTCCGTTATTTGCGGATTAAGATCTTTTTTTTTATGACTTACCATAAACTGATTTCAGCTTCATGAAGGTGAGTTGAAACTGGAAAACAACGACCAGTCCTGTGATGAGATTAAGTGTCTTTATCAGGCTCATCGACATCCTTCCTCTCAGTTCGTGGCGCATCTTCAGAGACTGAAACTCGTGAATTGGCGCAATGTGAGTTTTGCGCCTGTGAGAAAACCAACAACTCACTGTTGGTTCTTGTCAAGTTAAAAAGTTTTAACCATTTCTGTGGACTTTACTAACGCGTACACTCATGTTGGTTGTTCGTTGTTCAACTTTCAGTCCGCAGATCATCTGTGCGTCAGCGCAGTGTCTCTCCGGACTGAGCCGCTGCTGGTGATCCTGTACCCGTGGAAACGCTGCCTTCAAGTGCTGTCGTAACTGTCAGCATGATGAGCCCAAATGCAGTGGTGGAGGAGGTATTCAGATCCTCTACTCAAGTAAAAGTACTAATATCACACTGTGGTAAATACTTTGTTACATGTCCTGCCTTGAAAATGGTACTTGAGTAAAATGATGGTTAAAGTATAATCAGGAAAATGTATTAAAAGTACTCAATGCAGAATGGCTCCTGTGGCTTTTATTACTGTTATTGATATTAATATATTATTCTCAAAAGCAGGATTTTACTATCTAATTGGTTAAGGTGGAGCGATTTTTTAAGTAGTTTGTATAGGACTGCAGCTAATGATTATTGGCTGATTGTTTTCTCTATTAATCAATTAATTAATTAATAATAATAATTAATTAATCTGATGGTTTGGTTTGTAAAAAATCTAGAAATGATAAGAAATTCCTGTCATAATTACCCAGAGCCCTAATGGACACCTTCACAATGTTTGTTTTATCCAACCAAATCAAATCTAGTAATTCTTTATAACAAATACATAAATAATTAAGAAATTACGCTGATCTTAACATCTGTGAAGCTGGAACCATGAAACTATTTTGCTTGAAAAATGACTTTAATGAGTCTTAAATTAGTTGCTAATTAATTCTGTATAATCATTTAATCAACTTATAATTTCAGATAAATGTGATGATTAATGCTTAATGTGCAGTCACCCTTTCACCATAGTAATTCTCCATCTGAATCACAGACTGTATGATAACATTGTAGATTGTAAAATCTGAAAGTGCTGCTAAACTAAAGATAACGAGGAGCAGCTGAAGGCAGCGGTTTATGTCCTTAATGTAGTTCCATCTGTTCCCCACCAGGTGGCCACAACCACAATAAACTCATGAAACAGACATCTTAAGCCATAATAAGAACATCATTTGACCTATATTTATATCCAGAGTACAACAACAGTGTATAAAGTGATTAATTACACAAAAATCTTCTCAAATTTGGGGATTTGCTGCTTTTTCTTTAAATTATTTGTTATCATTTTAGTGTATTTTTAATGATTTGGAGGTTTGGAAAAACAAACACATCAGGCATTGTGAAGGCATTTTCAGATTATTTTTTTTTTATCCCTAAGTATTAATACACTATAAACATACTAAATAATAGTACTAAAGAAATTAAGTATGTAATCCTTGAAAATAAAAGGCAGATTAATCCATGAAATATTATAAAATGATCTCCACCTCGACCAGCTGCAACAGTGACACACTAATACAGTCCCAGGGGCCATTTTAACCTCAGACTAAACCTAAACACCCACAGCGCTGAATCCAGTTTGACAACAATATAGTGCACATGAACACATCACTGAAGCCCTCAAAGGCAATAAGGGAACGGCCAGAACCACTGCTAGTCTGAAGGATCAAAAGGACACAACAGCCAGCGTTGGTTCGGATGCATCAGTCACTCACAACCACCGGTTCAAACATCTAAATCATCTCAAATAATGAATGAAGCATAAACGTTGTATACTTTCTTTTTAATGACAATTTCTAAAGAATGGCACAATTAAGAAATAAAACATTAACAAATGTTCCAGATGCCAAAAAAACCAAGGACACTTGAGGCCTCAACTATGACAAAAAGACCCAAGAGTATAGTATAAGGGGACTGGAGGAGGAATGAAATTAAATCACCAATTAAGCCATTATTATTTCCAAATATATAAAGTGTTGCCTTACATTGCGTCAAAACTGTCAACTCAATGCGTCTACTGAAGGGATAAATGTTGGCTGGAAAACACAAATAAGCTCTTCATTAAAAAAGGTGTTTCATGTGCATGTTTTTTTTTTGTCATTAATAATTAGAACAACGCTGCATTAGAGACACTGAAATAAACATTTATAAACAAATAAAGATGTTTGCAGATTTAGAGCCGCTGGTTAAGATTTGGTTGTCATTCAATTAGATTGTGTCACGTAAAAAAAAGAAAGAACAGCCCTAATGTTCCTTCTGTTGTTGCTCTTATTCCATTATATATCTGATGTGCTATCTAACAGCTGTAGAATAAGTTAAAGATTCATCAGACAAATGTAAAAAATGGAGGCCACATAAATCCTTGAAAACAATTAGCATACAGTGTTTCCCTAAACGTCATACTATTCATTTTTTTGGGATCCGAGTGTCATCTTAGCACCAACAATACCACTGGCATTAAAATGGCTTCATTTGTTTGTCGTTTATCTCAATTATGCGAAGATATCAGGATTCTTTCAACAACTATTTATTCATGTTTATAAATGCTACCGACAGCACCTTTAATTAAGCAGTTATTTGTGTCAGAGATGTGGGTGGAATGAAACTCTGAACCTAAAAAAACACTCAGCACTGCAGCAGCTCCACTTCAAAGATGAGAGTGGCGTTTTTGGGGATGACCGGTGGGTGCCCTTCATTGCCGTACGCGAAGTCCGGTGAGCAGGTCAACCTGGCCAACTGACCGACGCTCATCTGTGGAGGAAGAGAAGAGCAAGTTAGATAAAATTTAATAACTAACAGTTGTGTTAAAATCAATACAACAGAGATATCTTAACCTTTTAATCACCAGTATGGGTTGAGCTCTCCCTGCCTGTTAACACCTCCAACTCCCCATTTTATAACATATGCTTTCTGTTACAAATGAAGTCTGTAAGGCCAAGCTGAGATAACCACGATCTCAGACATTATACAACTATTTTATACAATAGAGGCAGGGTGGTACATCAATATAATCTGCTTACTTGGAATTACTTAAAAATGTTTATGCACAATGCGGAAAATGTGTGAAAATCCAGTTATTGCAGTACTGGTATGAGCTATAGGAGTACTGTAAGGGATAGCCGTATCAGCTGTCAGGAGTCACAACAGTGCTACAGTGTAGGGCAGCTAATGCTAAGTTAGTCAGCTGTCTGCAGACATCAGGCTGCTGTCAAGAGAGAATAAACAAGAGATGAAATAATGATCTGACTTCTGTGCTGAAACTGATTAATTAAAAGAGTCAGCGCTCTGCTTAGTACCGACAGTCCACAGCTGACCTAATGTCCATAAACACCATGGCATTGCGGGTGGTGCAGGTATTTATTATTTTAGCTGAACTGTCTTGCACATTAGGAGCTAAAAAAAATAATATTAATATTATATTTAAATAGTCCAGGACTATTTAAAAACGGGCTGAATAGTAAAAACCCCCAAGATCAATAAGCTCATCTTGGCGTGTAAACTCTGAAGTGCCTTTTCAAAGTTCCTCTCCATACCTGAGCAACACCCTCATCCCAACCACGGATTACTTGACCGGCTCCAATTTTGAATTTGAAGGGCCCCCGGTCCCTGGAGGAGTCGAACTGTTTTCCATTGGTCAGCGTGCCTGTGCAACAAAAACAACAACAACAACAACAACAAAAAATAACAATAAACAACGTTGTTAGCACTCTGTGGCTACACCATTTCTCCACACTAATCTTGTGTTTTTATAACAATTTGAACACAATGTGATTAAGTGTTAGATACATTAGCCAGAGCTCATAATTAGGCAGTAAGAGGTTCCTTTTATTGATCCCTGTAGGAGACATTCACAGCAGCACAGAGTGTAGTGCAAACAGCAAATATAACTAAATAAAACAAAATTATTATTATTTTATAATAAAAAGAAATATATATATATAAAACAAGAACATAACAGAAAGCTATAGTATATAAAGTCTACACCCTATAAACACAATAAAGTTGAACATTGTCCACATTCAATAAGAAGCCACAGCCAGAGAGCGGTTAGCTTAATTAGCTTAGCACAAACACTGAAACCAAGAGATAACCGCTAACATGGCGAATTATCTCAACAGCGGAGGGTTTCTGACTAAATGTACTGAATATACTGAATGTACTGAATGTACTGAATGTGAAACGATGTCTCAACCCGTAGGTATCACGGCTGCTGGTCAATCTATCTCCTACCTTTACCTAACGTTATATCTGAGGACAGAGACGGGATCGGAGCTAAAAGCTAAAACACATCCCGACTGTTCAGTCTCAACATCGGACACGAAGAGAAGCGGCATCGGTGTTATTCCTCCCGGTGGGAAACACACACAGTGCCTCTTAAAACACCGCACACACGTTTATATGTGTTATATGTTACCGGTTTGTCTGTTTTAAGTGAATTAAATAACGTTTAGAGACGTCTCACCGGTGTAGTGCACGGTGACAGTGGAGCCTTTCTTCGGAAACGTCTTTCCTGAACGGAGAGAAAAAACGTCGGTTAAAAAAAATAACATATTATATATTTAATTAAAACAGGGTATATATTAAACTTCACGGATCACTTGAGTAGTTTTAAAAAAACAGCAGAAACACTCACCGTCTCCAGGTCTTAAGGTCTCAACTTCTACTCCCATTGTTCTTTCAGAGCTGTCTTCCCTCTCTCGCACTTCCGGGGACCTCTCTCTCTCTCTGTGTGTGTGTGTGTGTGTGTATATGTGTGTGTGTGTGTGTGTGTGTGTGTGTGTGTGTGTGTGTTCAGTGACACGCGACGTGATTGGTGCGTTCGATGACGCCGTTGAGCGTCACATGTCGCCCGTTAGCCGTTAAAATGCGTTTAAAGCAACGTGTTTTCTAGTTTCTGCCTGTGTAAGGAAAGTGTGGCTGCTGGAGAGAGAGAGAGACAAACGTTTAGACAGAAATGTGAAATATATATATATATATATATATATATATATATATTTATTTTTTTTTAGTAGTTTAATGCAAGTAAAATAAATGAGGAAGACGATGACATGGGCGTTGTACTGAGGGGCAATATCTTGGCACTAATCTACCAGGGCGCAAAATGTGGGGAGGGTCCTCCAAAAAAAATGTTCTTCTTTTTATCGACAGTTTTGAAATGTTACCTTTTTTTTTAGCATTCGTAAGTTATGTAGCGCTGTTGGTTAAATAAATAGCCCGACAAAGTATTTTTCTTGTATCTAAAACAATAGTTGAGGCTTTCGGACACACCCCACCCCCCTCCGAACGGTCCACATGGTTTAGTCCACTCCCACTGCAGGAAGTGGTGGAATGTGCCAACTCTTTGTTTAAGTGATGTCAGTTTTACTTTGTTTTTATACTAATGTTATTTATTGAACATAATAATATGTAGTGAGCACATTTTACAGTTTACAAAGACGTTATGCTTGTAACATGAATATTATTACTCATGAGAAAAAGCACCTGTGTATATATAATAATAATAATAATAATAATAATAATAATAATAATAATAATAATATATAACAATAAGAACATTATAAACATAATTTAACATTGGATAATTTGGACTTACGTTTTGTTTTTAATTACATTAGTCTTTCCAAAATGTGTAACTGTATTAATAAATGCCACAACAAGAGAACAATGTTTTCTAAATGGGTATTACAAAAGGTGCAGTTTGTATCAGCAAAACTTACATATGTTTTCTAAGATAAGTTTGGAATCAGTTAAAGAAAAGTCCTGAAAGAGAGCAGACCAAATATTATTCACAGATTTATTTCATCTAGTAAGTTACACCAAAACTGATTCCCCCTGAAAGAGTAAGAAAATCTTTCTGTTTACATTATGCAAGTTAGAAAAACAAGTTTGCAGTGTTTGGTCTATGAGAAGGTTGAAGATATACATCCCTTCATAAGCATTATCAAACCAGAAGCACTGTACACATCTGAGGTCACATACTTTACTCCATTATTACCTTTTCATTACAATATATATTTTTACTCCACTGCAATTGTTTTTCAGCTTCAATTCCTCGTCCCTCTACAAATAAAGATTAGACTTTTATTTTAAGAAACATGACGCTTGGAGCTATGAAGATCATGAAATACAATGCATGCTATAGTTTAAACTAACCAGAACTGTATTATAATTAGACATTTTTTAATACGTTTTATACATACTTCCCTTGTGAAGGGAGAAAGAATAATTCAATAATGAAAAATAATTGAGCTTTATGTGCACATCTTTACATGTTTGTATTTCAGTGATTTTCTGTGAACAAATTAAATTATTTTAATATGTAAATATACACTTGGTAAACAAACAGAGTTGTAATTTCAGCTCTCTATGCTCAGCAGACAGTCACCTTTACAATGTACAGCTTCTTAAAGTAACTACTTAGGTTTAGTTCAACAGGAGAACTGGTTCTGCCGGTTCTGCCGGGTCAACCAACAAAAACAACAACAGTTACAAAAGGGTGTTTGTTAAATTCTATTTCATAAAAATGGCTTTTACACTTTCAAAGTTCTGCAGGGTTTGTTGCTCTGCCTGTCAGTATTTCCAGGTAAGAAATAATTATGTTCATATAATTATTAATCCAGTTGTCATTATTAAAACTAAAGGCTCACAACGTTGATCCATTTTCAAACTTTCACACTAACATCAATATTTCATTTTCTAAATAATAGTTTTTAATGGACAACAAATATCTCTAAGAACACAGGCATCATTTACAAACTGGTTATCGTTTATTTATTTCACTGTAGTTCATCAAGCATCGGATGAAGCCACGGTGCTGTCAGTTACATGTGGCGATGGGTCATACATTTTGTTGAAGAAGGAAAATTCCGACTCAGGTCCTTGTTGTGTTCCCTGGAAGGAAACAAATATTTTTTTGAACATCTGAACTCTGTGGAAGATGAACAAGATGTTCTGTTACCAAATCCCGTTTACTTACATCTATTTTGCAGTCAAAGAGGTCGAGCACAGAGGCCTGGTCAATTGCGTCGTTACTGAAAATTGTCGGTTGATTCCTGAGCAGAAACGTCAACTTGAAATCAGTATTCTTCAGTGTTTTTATGTGCATTGTGTCAATTATTTCTGTATTTAAAGAACTGTGTACATTGTATTACGCTTCATGTTCAGCACAAAGAGGAAGATGGCGACGATGACTCCAGCCAGCAGAGTCAGACCGACAGCCAGACCTACGGACATGTCTGCACACACAGAGAAACTCGATGAGAGCACAACATTTGACATCAACTCCTTTATAAGTTTTACAGTTTGAAGGTGAAAAAATATCTAATAGGGTTCCAAAATTATTATTTATTAAAAGATACAACTGATAATGTTCAATATAACCAAGACCAAAACAAAGAATGAATTTATCCCACTAACAAGTGTTGCCTGTGTATTTAAATACTGATATATCTTATCGTTCTGTGCCATTGAGTTATATTATTGTCCAATAACTATTAGAATCACACAATCAAGGAAATCAGGTCAGTGATCTCTTTACGTCCCTTTACTTTTATCAGTTTTTAAGAGATGTATTTTTCTTTGAACTGCTTTTAATTTCCTCTATTTTTCTTGCTTATATGATTGTGGTTGAAATTTTGTTTTAAAACCTTTTATTTGTCATGAAGCAACATGTCCTTTAAAGTGGTTTATATAGATTATTATTATAAGTCTGACAATACACAATCTGACATGCACACACGTCCTGCTGCCGCAAATAACTAAACACATACATTAATGGATGAAAATAGCTCTTAACAAGTGCACTATTTATTCCTCTCTGTGTAATGTTCGTTAAAAACTACAGTGTTCAGCTGTTTGAGGAAATTACTGAGCATTTCAAATATAGAAAAAGTTATTGTCCAATAATGCATACAAAATATTTATAGAAAATGTTGATAAAATAGAGAAACTTACTGATAAAATGTGTATTTAAACCCATAGCCTTAGCAAATACTTTCTACAAATAGTTGTTTACAGTAATATCTAGACAGGGGTTAATGATTTCTGGAGGATTAGAACACAGTTCTTTCTCACAGCTAAAAGAATAACTGTCTGCTTAGTTGAGGTAGCTAAGGGAGGTCCGAGGTTACCATTATCATCACCAGGAGGGTCAACGGGTGGCTCCGAGTAGCAGCTGCCAGGGAGGACGGTGATATCATCCAGAGCAACGTCCCCACCTGTATTCATCCCCCTCTGATACACAAACACAAACTGTGACAAAAAAAGAGAGAGGTCAAATTCAGCAGAGCAGAATTAAGAAGAGTAAACGCAGTTGTTTTTGGTTAATGTGTTAAAAATGATCCGTGAAGATCACTATCACAAGATATATAAACGTCTCATTCCAAAGTAACAAAAACACAATGATTCTTATTTTCAGGTAATTATACACTTACATACTTATATTACAGGATATATATATGAATGTTATGTTAAATTTCTGCCAATATATCCTCCTAAATGTTACACACTGGACCTTTAAGTTTTATCAAAAAGCTCCTGGATGTTAACATCAAGCTTATTCTGATCAAATCCATCGTAAGCTCCCATTACCCAGAATGCTTCTTTATGTTTAATAGGCACTCTGGCCTCCTGCCACTTGTCTCCCTTGTTTCCCGACTCAATCCACTTCAGAGTCCCTTCTTCATAACCACCAGAATGCATTTTTCTAAGAGACAAGACACAAAATTTAAATTGAATGTTGTCAGAGGACAGTTCATGTGTAATGTTGTTACTCCTCAGACATTAACAGTTAGTTACCTGTCATTAATGTAAACCCTCAGAGTCCCAACGTTGTCGCCATACATGTGGTACCAGAATGTCAGACAGTGACCTCTAGTGGACGGCTGGAAGACATCACTGATCAGGAAGGATGTGTCTCCCCACTCACCCACAGAGCTGTCCACATACAGATAGTAACCTGGTGGAAACATGGCAAGATCACTCACAGACAATGAGAGAAAGAACTCGATATACTCAACATCGCTTCAGACAAACATGTACAGCTGGTGTGCTGCACTAAAACAACAATCTTGCACTTGTCTGACCAGCTAATATCTACCAATGTAGTCAGACTCAGGTCTAGTCAGGTGGTGGTTTTAACTGCATCTATCATAAGACACAGATCTGGGCAGGGGGACTTTCATCCTGTTCTCTGGAACAAAACTGTACACTACCTGCTGAGCATCAAACAGCAGAGAGACACAGTTTGAGACTAGCTGGTGAACATAGTGGAGGTTTTAGCAGCTAAAGAGCTGAATATTTCACTCAGGAGTTGGTGGAGCTACATTCCCACCCCCTCCCTCCAGTTGTCCCTCCAAAGACACTCCCCCAACTCCTGAGAGGAGCACAGCGCATCACTCTTCATTACCTCATAAAGCTTTGGGGAAATGCAGCCATGATGAACAATGGAATCAGTGGCATTAAGTTTCTATAAATTAGATTTGATCGGACTCACATCCATCCTGTTCAAACCTAAAATAATGGTTACCATGTGTTGAGTTGGTGGTGTGATCAACACTGGGTCCGGTGTTGGGATTTGGGGAGGCTCCTCTCCCACGAAGCCAGTCCTCCTGGTCGACTTCTCCTCCCAGGTTGCTCCAGCTGCACATGTTAATCTCAAAGTCACAGTGTCCAGGAGGAGGACACTGAGCGTCTGTCAGTTGAACATCATCAAAAGCCATGTCTCCCTCCTCTGTGGGCTCAGCCTTCACACCTTCCACCACGATCTGAAACACAAAGAGTGTAACCATGGAAACCACCAATTGTAAATATAAATATAGCTTAAAATCAGTTTTGTACATCTTAGTCTCAGTTTGACACAGTTATATGCTCAAATCAATTAAATCTGTTATTATCGAAAAAAGAATGAACAAATGAATGGAAATCTAATTGGACTTATTTCTTAAATTAATAGAATGTCAGTGCACCCAAATGAGCCGTTAAATATCTTTAAAGTCATAGATTCATATACAAATCACAAAAAGCAGTTCTCATACTCTCCCTGTAATATCTGAAGATTCATATAGTTTAATTTTATGTGCAGAGGTTTGGAGAGTCTAGTTAGGGACATGAAAGATGGGCTTAAAAGTTCCTAATGTTGTAGACATGATTTCATAAAATTTTGTGGCTTAAAACCATTTGGAGTAAGATTTCCATGATATTTTGAGTTAGCTGGCACTGGTGGAAGTACACAGGTACTTACTGAAATTAAGAACACCGTAGTGTGAAAATACTGTTATAAGTAAAAGTCCTGCATTCAAAATATTACTTAAACATACAACAAGGACTTTGTATTTGGAGGTGAAACAGTCCCAAATTAATACTGGTGTCTACCTTTAAAATCAATTAAACAAGGTGGTGGAAACACTACTGCTTTTGTCCACAGTTAAAAGTTAAAATATAAAGCAGCATAAACTGGAAACACTCGTGTAAAGTACAAGTAGCTTAAAATGAATAGTACATGTATTAAGTAACCTCCCACAGCTGCCCGTGTATCCACTCTTTTCCCCAAAATGACTGCATTGCCAGAAGGTGTTGGGCGGATCTTCGTGACTCACCCTGTAAGGCTGAGTCCGAGGCAGAAGTGAAGCCTGAGCAAACCTCCACAGCTGGCCCTGGTCTCCTGTCTGAGAGAAAATCAGAGTTTGCTTCCCTTCTTCACTCTGCTGGTAAACGTTCAGCATCCCCATTCCTTTGCCGTACATGTGGTACCACAGCTGCACACAAGCTCCTTTGCCTGAAGAGCCAAAGGAAGGAAAACCAGATCAAATATGATTACATAACTGAAATATTAAAGGGTTACTGCAACACAGCAGCGCCTTTCCCCAGTGAACATTTGACTGCCTCCATGTCCAGATATTTGGATTTTATTGTAGAGAAAAGCAGTGGTCTATTTAGTCAAGAACTTTACTTTAATTTGAGGTACTTTAACTCTTATTGAGTATTTCCATTTTATGCTTCCTTGTATCCTGAATACGTCCTCCACCACTTTAGAAAATGATCAGCAAAATGTCAGCAGTATAATTAATTTATACACAGTAAATTAAATACACAAAAAGAAAATTTATTAGGAAGAGAAAGGAGATCGTTTACATTTGTCACATGCTGATGGGTCAAACCCCACAATCATTTAAATGTCTTAATTCAGTAACATTTAGGAGGATCTATTGGCAGAAATGGAATATAATATCAATGTTTGTTGTATGTTTTCTTTAGTAACCTTAAAATTAGTGACAGAGGGAGTGGGTCTGCCGTGTTTCTACAGTATCCCTGAGCGGACAAACTAGACACTTGCTCTAGATAGAGCCTTTTGTGTTTTTTGTTGGTTTCACAGCCACCATAGTTTCTCCTACATGCTAGGAAGGGAAGGGTGAGGCGAGGGGTTATCAGTTGGTTGCAACTTACAACCTCACTGCTAGATGCCACTAAATTTAACTGTACTTCCTGAACGTGTTGGCCCCATCTGGATGTGAGTCAGCATGTGGTGCAGTACACTGTCTACATAAACAGTGAAACATACAAGATATTCTTTTCCTCAGTCTATATGTTGTACTGTTTTGCTAATTGTGGGAAAACAAGAGTAGAACCATATCGGAGCTAATCTATGGCAGCATAAAGCTGATCTGAGCATGCAGATCTTAAAGGAAATATTGATGCAACAGTGGAGAACACACTGGTGACTGTTTCACCTGCAGGGTACAGCGGTGAAGACATTTCAGCTGTCTGGCCTGCACGGTCAGCAGCAGAGGAGGACAGGAAGTAGTAATGGCCCGTGGGTGTGTTGGTGGTGTGGTCACTGTCTGGCCCAGTGCTGGGGTTGAGGGTGGAGCCCGACTGTCTGACCCAGTCGAAGTCATCTGTGGTGTGCTGCTTCCAGTCACAGCTACCCTCCTCAAAGTCACACATATCTGCAAGAGCAGGTTTTGGAAAACATTATAAAGAAGTATGTGTACATTTTGCAAAGCATAAAAATTGTAACTCAGAGTTTAGGACTCAGTATTGCTAAAATGCTGTGTATGAGAGTCTAAATCTAAATGGGATGTTAAACAAGGACTTAATAGGAGGTTATCTACAGAATGTTCTCTTTTACTTTTGTTTTCTTTGAGGACCACGAAAGTCCTGGATGCATAATAATAAGTAATTAAAAAGGTCTATGACTGCACTGTCGAGTTCTGCACTGTCAAGACATCCACTAATAATCCTTCAAAAAGGCTCATATTATTCTACTTTTTTCAACAAATGCCAAGAAAAGACCAAAATTCACAAGTGTTCCTCATAATGGATTCATGGGATTGCTGACAATAAGAAAAACATACAATACAGCCAGACTTATCCTTTAAATGTAGGACTACGTGTATGAATACACTCAATATCGCCCAACATTTGATGGAGGGAGATGGACTCTTTTATTTAAATTATTGTCTATTAAAGCAAGGAAAGGAGGAAGATGTGGTTGAGAGAATATGATTGACTGGGGAAAGCTTTTGAAAATGTGGCAAGAGACACTCTTTCTACAGTTATTCTACTCATCTCTTACTTGGAAAATTATTACACAATGAATCACTTTACCAGAGGTAGGACACAGTCCACTGATGAGGGAGATGTCATCAATGGCTATGTCTCCCGCCTCTCCTCCAACTGTAGCCTCCAGAATCACTTGGTGGACTTTCTGCAAGGTCACGTGGATCCGCACCAGCTGCCACTCATCCCCTTGGTTTCCTGATTTTTGCCACACCTACAGGAAAGACAGGAGGCTGATTCACTTGTCACAATGAGGATGTGAGGAGGTTTTTGCAACACCGTGGTATGCACTGAAACTGTGCAGCTTGCCCTCAGTATACAATGCGTTCATGTTATTTTGCAATCGGCATTTCACAACTATGTGAAAAGTATAATAACAGAGTCGGAATTCAGTGGGAACAGTCAAATATTTCTCAATCCACCTCAAGGCCGTTTTTCTAACATTGTAGTAAAGGGAAGTAATGTGTCCAGACTCAAACACAATAATTAATAAAGAAAATGTGGCCTTCTCTTTTTTGGCAAAAAAATAAATTAAACTAATTTCATGAATATTTTACCACTGTTTTCTTCAAGGGATCTGCTGTTTGCAGAAGCATCCTCAAGGAGCCCACCGTAGCTCCGAACATGTGGTGCCAAAATGTGACACAGTATCCGTTTTTGTCAGCAGGTGGCAGCAGCGGAGACTTCAGTTGGGCCTTGTTTCCTTTTACACTTGGTGGGGAACTCTTGATGTAAAGGTACTTCCCTGTGAAACAAAATAGAGAGTAGTTTTAAACATTTCTGACTGTTGACACAAAGAAATGTGTATTTTTCAACTTTTTCAGAGTTTCTGCAGACTTTTTACGTCCATACTTGCAAAGGATATGAAGGAATTTCATATTTTCGTATTTGTTCCATGTGGGTTTTGTTTTGTAGTTGTTGCAACATGATCAATGCAAATTTAAATATCCAATATCCAATTTACTGAAGACTGAGACTGAAAAATGCAACTTTATAAAAGTAACTTCAATTTCATAAGTGCGTCAATGTACCAAGGCATATTACTTGTATGTGAAAACTTATTTGGCAATAAACCTGATTCTGATTAATACAATCAACTTTTAAAATGTTTTATGGCTTAAAATTCAGATTATTGGATTCTAGACATTTTAACACTCTGCAGACACCCTGTAAACATTGGGATGCCCCTGCCCTGAGTTTGGGAACCACTACCATACAACATTGTTATTGTTCAGTAAGTTATTAGGTTTTGCTGTCTAAGGCTGGCTAATCTTTGTAATATTGTCATAATTTTAAAGCAAGACTGTGTAACTTTTAGGAGTAGAAAAAAACATGATCTTCCTCTCACAAATAAAAAGTTGAATTCACAGGAAATAAAATTTTCAATTCAGTACATTTTGTGTTGACGCCTCACTTGGTCTGTTATGACCAGTATGACTAAGTGACCTTCTGGTACGAGCAGTTTTTTTAAAACCTCTATTTAAGCAGATAAATCGCTTGAGAAACAGTTCTCATTTACAAATATAAGACCAGTATGGCTGTGACTGACATGTATGACTCCTCTCTCTTTGTGGTAATGGTCACTTGTCACAAAGGCCACAAACGCTTGCTTTAAATGTCTCAACACATTGAATAATACTTTCAGTACTAAATGGAATCCAAGTGCAAAACACTACCATTTAGTTATTTGTATAACGTTTTGGCAGTCTGCTTGTCTAATGATAGTCTAAAATAAATGTGACCTTTGCCGGTAGTGTGGTCTCCTGCAGGCCCGGTGTTGGGGGTTTCAGTGGGACCAGACCTGCTGAGCCAGTACAACTCATCTTCAGCCCCCTTCACCCAAACACACAGATCTTCTTCAAAAGAACAGCTAGAGGAAGACAGGGCTGAGGAGGGAAAGAACATTGAAAAATTAGTCAACTTTACTCCCAAACAGGTTTTTTATAAAGTAGACAGTTTATAAAGCACACCACTATTACTCCCTTCCTATGAATTCCCATGTAAGATGTGATCTTATTTACCAGGTGGTTGGTAGGATTTTTCACAGTTCAGAAAAGAGATATCATCCACAGCAACAATGTGATCTCCAGCAGTCTGATTCACTTGATTGGTGCTGCTGAACCAAACCTAATAATAGAAATGATTACATTTAGGATTTTGAAGGATTAGTGTCCTCAACAGTAAATACTGTAGATAGAAAACACTGCATTGCACTTACTGCACGTCAAACATCCTCTACATGGACATATTTTGATTTGGGTTGTTTCCAACAATCACACACCACTCTCACACTCCTGCACACCTTACACTACTTATAATCACATCCTATACTCCTTTTTTGTTTTGTTAAGTACTTGCTTTACCTATTTTTTCTCCATAAATCACCCTGTTTGTGAGCCAGCCTATGGGAGTAATATATTATGTGTAGTAATATACAATGAGGATATAAACTCAGCTGCCAGTTTATTAGGTACAAAGGGCTAAAACTAATGCAGTACAACAGTCCTGCAGTAAATCAAACCTTCATGAAAGTTAGTGTTCAGTTCTTGGTGAAAATGTTTTAGAGAGGTGACGTTTCAACTTTATTGACTTTTACTCTATTCTTATTGATATAAATGAGTGGAAAAAATATTAGAAACAACGTAGCACAACTGTAGATGCAGAACACCTCTCAAAAACTGAACATTAAAAGCAGATTTATTACAGGTGTGTTTCATTGGACAGCGTTAGTTTTAGATAAATGTACCTAATACATTGGCAATTAAGTGTATTACCATACAAATTAAGCAATATATTAAATACTCATAGAATAACAGGACTGTACATAACGTTTTTCTAATTTTACACGTTCCAAAACATATTGTACAAAGGCCTATACATACATATTAGATCTCAATCCATTGTGAATATACAGATATATGAAATATTAAAAGGAAAAACCACCACAAGCTGCCTTGACAGTGAAAAAATATATAGTTTCTTTAGCTGTTTTCTTTAAAATGTCTCAAGCATACACCTTATAATGCTGCTGGTGCGGGCCTAGAAACAGATGCTCTTGGGTCCAATGGGAGACAGTGTTGTGACTGCGTGACCACAGGATTGCTTCACTCCCTTCAGCTTGCTGCATAAGCACTCTGAGTGACCCAGCACTCTCTGCACTGATGTGGAAGTGAAACCTGCGTTTAGGAAAGAAGGAAGGAAGAAGGGGAGAGTGTTGGATTGGGAAGAGAGTTGCGTGGTAGAAAGGCAGAGGCGGCGGGGAGCATTGAGCAATTCATACGATAAATATTCAACTCTGTATAAAAACAAATATTCTACAGAGATTCTGGATGATAGTAAGAGAAATGTGGCCATAAAATGTCTTGGTTATGACTTACAGAATCTGGCAGTAGAGGGACGAAGGGGGTAGTGGGGGACTCTGGAGTCTGGCCTCAACCTGTGTGGACCCCTGGCTGAAATTCACTCTCATGTAGTAGCCTGAGAACGAGGGAAATCCTAAATCAACAACTCTTAAACGTTCAGATTAAAGTGCTGAGGAAGAGTACTGTTATGATGATTTCAGTGCCACGTCATTTAACATGTTATGAATTATTTTTTTGTGCTGTGGGTCCATAAAATCAATAAACTATTCAATAAGCCACTAAAGTCACCTGTGCCTGTAGTGTGATCAGTGGACGGCTCGCTATCGTTACCGGCTTTCTCTCTCTGCCAACTGCTCTGACCATCACTGGTGTCAGCCCATTGGCACTGGTTACTCTCAAATGTACACTGACCTGTAAGTTTAAGGCAAGGCGTGAGTAATACTGCTGGGAAAAAAGGGAGGTGAGTATTAGTTCATGAATCATGTTTCTGACAAATGTTTTACAGTAATCTGCTTTTTGTAACATCATGTGCAGCAGAGAAAATCGACATAGGAACTTCAAATATAACTATGATATAAACGTAAAATGTACACAGAAATTAAACAATATTTGTACAAATGAAATGGAAAACTGTGCAATCGACTTTCATGTCTGTGCTAGACTATAGAGATATCTTGTATGCCATGCTACTTTAAAACAATTTGATCCAGTTGTGGTTATCCTATGAGCTAGCTTTGACTAGATACAGCTCTCTTGCTGTTTTATCTTTCCAGTCTCTATGTGACAAAGAGTGCAGAGCCACAACTGGTTTGAGCTCTGTTTTTTTGGCAAAACAGCAGCATGCAGCTAATCACGATACCTGGTAAATTAGGTTACTGGCTGCTTACTGCAGCATCCTGGGTTTAATTCCAACCTGTGACCTTTTGCTGCATGTCATCCCCTCTCTCTCTCTCTCTCTCTCTCTCTCCCCCCCTTTCCTATCTCACTTCAGCTGTCTGTGTCAAATAAAGGCAAAACAAAGGTCAAAAAGTACACGTTACTTTTTATTGATTGTAATTTATAGTAATCCCAGTTTGATCATTGATTGACTATGAAGACTTTATAATCTTGAAACCTAATAATAATCAGGGGATTCCTTAAGACAAAAAAAGCTCTTAAATTTGCATGTCCTTGACCTGGACGTTATATGTGATAAAATTACATAAAATCACATTCTTCTGACACAGTGGTAGAAGCATTTGAACTGTAGGTCTCTACAGCCTGCTTTAGATAGATATAATGAATGCAACCCGTAGCTCACCACAGCCATCCTCGTCCTCCCCTTGGGGGCAGTCTAGATGATAATCACATTGTAAGGTTTCTGGGATACACACTTCTCCAGATGACCGCCAACAGAAAAACTCATTATCCTGCATCACCAAAGAAAGAGGACAGTAGCTATAGACTATTTTCAACAAGTTTACAGAATTGTTTTATGGATTCATTTTGTAGCCATGAGCTTGTTGCGTCAGGTAGTTTACCGGACAGGGGTGGGTCGGTGCAATCGAGGTTGAGGGTGTAGCTGGAGATGTGGGTGTGTTTGAAGATGTAAGTGGGACAGAGGTGGGTGATGTGTCAGGCAGTTTGTTGTTGTCAGGGTCAAATACACACTCCCTGGAGAAAGAGATGTCGTCCAGTGCAACCAGCCCTCTGTGACCTTCACCTCGCTCATATCTGAAGACAATCTGAGAAGAAAAAAAAACATTCTGACATTCTGACCTTGTTCCCTCCGTTTACTTCTGGTATTATGAAACATCAGTGATAAAAGTCATCATAAAGAAAGTGTCAAAGTAAAGTCATGGCCAAATTTGTGATAGTGTTTTTTTCCGGTTTCCATTTTCACTCCCCTTGTAGCTTGGGTAATACTGTAGATTTGGGTAATAATAATACACTAAATGTTGCTATTCATACTAAAATACTGATCAGAGCAGCTTAAAATCTTATCTTTGATAGAGTTAACAACCTGAAAACATTTTCATAATGAATGCACTGGTTGACTGATGCTCGCATCTGTCATTTAATTAAACTGTCTGTGTCCTCACCGACCTTGCTATTGTCTGAGGAGGAGAATGTGACCTCTGCCCTCCGCCAGCTGTAACTCTGTGAGTTTTCACTGAGCCATAACACAGAGTCATCACTACCAGACCGTAGTGTCCTGGACTGGGCTGTCAGTCTGGCTGCCGCATCATCCAGGCTGAAGAAGAAGAATCTCACCTACACAGACGCAGTAAGAGTCATCACAGCGCAGTGATGTACAGAAAAGAAGGTGATGATGTGCTTTGAAAACAAAAATTCAACGCTTGCTTTTATTGAAATAAGTTAAAAGTCTTGTTGCTATATTACAAGTTTAAGACAACCATGTACACATTTATTTATAAGACTTCAAAATGAAATGTGCTATAACCATCTACATATACTCACAGTGCAGTTGGAGCTGGGTAGTAAAGTTTTGGAGAACATCTCTGATGTCTGGCCCCTCTCAGTTAGGTGAGTCCCAGGTATCACATAGTGACCTGTATAATAAAATTATACACATATACAATAAAAAGTTTAGCATTACTGATTAGAGAAGAAACCATCTAGTCAGAGTCAGGAGTCATAAGAATTATCTCGACTCAAAGAGTCTACTACCTGCATCAGAGTTTTGGGTGTGATCCCTGGGAGGGCCATGATTGGGCCAGGCTTCCTGTACTTTGTGATGTGTCCACTGAGCTCCAGGTGTGTCCACGTCACTGTCCGCCCAGGAACACAGGCCTTGTTCAAAGCTGCAGCGCTCCACAACACCTTGTGACTCTACATTGTTATTATTATCATCATCAGGTAAGAGGGAAATTGTAACACTTTATTTGCATAGTCCACCTATAGATAGATTTAAATTATTTCACTTGGTCTGTAGATGTTTAACAGATCATCTGTAATGTATATGTGGTGATTCATGAACATACACTAACTAAGATGTCTTAACCTAACTAAAACTTATACTTCTATCAGAAACGGTTGCTGAATCTCAACAAATACAAATATCTATAGGCAGACTATCCCAATAAAGTGTTACATGGAAATATCCTTAAACTTATTAATGTTTACAATTGCATATATAGAGCTCTTACCCAATAACAAAATTGATCTTACATTGAAGCCTTTTAAGGGAAATTATGAAACAATGTACAAGGGGAAATACACAGGGATTCTGTATAGTGTGCAGCTACTATTTGAATTTAAAGTGAATTCAGTATTTCTAATATTTAACTGTTTGTGATATCTCACCACAGTTGTTCTCATCAGACCAGTCCCCACAGTCATCGCTGAAGTCACACACTCTGTTGTGCTCCACACATACACTGTTGTTGCACGTGAACATATTCTCTGGACACAGGGGCTGGGGCTCTGAGAAGAAAACCAAATATTTTTCACGTATATGTATTTTTCATGTACATGTGCATGTAGAGCAGGGAACCTACTAGGCAGGGTGCAGTTGGTGAAATCTATGTCATCAATGGCAATGTGCCCAGGCTTGGTGAAGGTCCGGGAGGCTTCAAACAGGATGGTGAAGTCCTGAGGCATTCGACCAACCATTACCTCACCATGACGCCACAAGTCTCCATGGCTACCAGATAGCCACCACAGTGTGGTGGTCCTGGAGCCTTCCTTTAACACCACACTCAGCTCTTTTATGTCTGTAACAACGTAAAAGGTTAAAGACTGCTTACAGAAAGACACTCACATACGAAGAGAACAAGAACATGTCATTTTAATGGATGCATGAAACAGGTGCATGTGCAAAACATACCCTCTCCAAACATGTTGTAGTAGAATTGTAGTGTGCAGGTGGCACTGGCCTGTTTCATGGTGGGACTCTGCACGGCAGCAGGGCTGTTTTGATCTCCTCGGTCAGAATTCACTGCCAGGTACCAACCTGGAAGAATCAGATAAGAACCCCAGCAGACCCCAATGCATTACTCTTGATTCTTTTTGTACACAGTCAGCCGTGCAAACATCGCAGTAAATACCAAGTTGAGGTTTTATGACGATGGTGGAGAACTGTTATGCAGCTTGAACATAATAAGCCTTCTTACTTTTTTGTTGTAATAGAGCTTAGTATGCAATGCAAGCAATGATTAATGTGTCTTTTATGCAGATTATTTTGGCGGGGAGGTAACATGATATGTTGATTTCCCCCTTTTTGAGGTTTAGGCAATATAGGAATATGGTTGTGCTAAATTAAAACTTGAATTGTATTTTTAAGGTGTGACGGCAGTGGACCTAACAGCATAATTCAATAATAAATCACACAAATGTAGATTTAATGTTTAGCATAAGCATTAGTAATCAAGGAAGCCCAAGCCAGAACAAAACAAGGCGGGGGATGTAGAAACTGTGGCTAACACTACCCACAGGCAGCACTGGTACCATACATATTGTAAAAGGGGAAACACGACAGAAATCTCACTTCCATATTCGGCTTATTTTACCCTTGTAACAGACGTCTCATTACAATACCCAAAACATCTTTTTAATGACCAGACATTTATGATAAAAAATGGCTAAAAGGTTAAAAAAGTAAACTCTTACTGTTTCCCTCTTTGGTATGTTGATTAATTTGATTATTTTATTAATGGAAGGAGTCTAGAACTTTACACTGTACACAGATTATGTTTGCATTTTGTGTTGATTTGATTTCAGACTTTTGTCGCCATCTGGGTTGTAAAAGTGTGTCAGTTGCGTCAAGACTAGCCTAGACTAGACTATCTTAGTCTGTTCTGCCAGTGTGCTCTGTATAACTGTAACACAGTCCAGATGCAGACAACCTGTCCCATGGTAAATAAAGGCAGTATAAGAGTTAGTTAGTGTGTGGCCTCACCCAGTTCAGTGCCCACTGTGTGGTCCACAGAGGGTCCAAGGTTCTCAGAAGCATTCCTTCCTGTCATCCACTGAAACTGGCCAACACTGATGTCCTCCCAACCACATGTGCCATTTTCAAACGAACAACCCACAAATCCCAAACTTGTTTCATTTACTATGAGAAAAAGAAAAACTTCTTATATATATATTTCTTATATTTCTAATTTCTAATATAATAATTTAAATATTCTATATTTTAATTGGGTTCAGACACGTTTCAGTAATGAAGGATAGAAATTAAAACCAATACCAGTACCTCGACAAAGGCCTGGTGTGACACTGATGTCGTCAATAGCGATAAATCCTCTGTTGTTAGTTTCCGCTTCTATCAACAGCTGAGTATAAGATTGTTGAGGGAATCAGTGAATATTATTGATAAAAGAGCCATTATCTATTCATCATATATTATTAATATATGTATTATTATAATTAATTCTACCACTGAGCCTGTTTTGGGTTACCTGGAAAGGTTTGTTCCTCTCTACAGATTGAGAGAAGCTGATCCAGCTGCGTCCACTGCTGTTACTGTTGAACATCAGGTCTTCCTCCATCGGCCCTGAACGCAGGTACATCTTCAATGTCCCAGAGTCGCTGACCAACAACAGCCAAATGTCATGTTTTTGTTTTGTCATGTTATCATGTCATGTTTAACCAAAAAGCACTTATATAAATATATATAAATAATTTATTTTGTTGATTTTTTTAATCATACAAAATAAATGTTGACACAAATATATTATTTTATATTCTACATGGATCCTAGTATGTTTTCAAAGGGGTTGCAACTATTATTTTGATCTTAGGTCTTTTTCATACAACATATCTGTGTAAAGAGTGAACTCTGCCACAGAATATTCTGAGTCTTGCACAAAGCGGGGCAGGTGATTCATGTCTAAATGACATTTGTGCACACTTCCTGAGGAAGTCAATGAGGAAACAGGATAAACAGGATAAAGTGCATCCATGGCATTGTCACATACTGTATGGTGCGAAAAGGGTAGTGATTTGTAATTTACTTTTGCTGACCTGCTGTCGATATAGTACCATACGGTGAGACAGGAGCTGGTGTCTCTCGGGTGGATCCATTGTGACATTACCTGTGTGAGACTGCTGTGGTTTTGGTGCAGTGATGAGCTCAACAAGAACCAACCTGAAAACAAAAATAAGAATACAAATATGAAATAAACAATAATAGAAAACTATCAGTTGCAAAGGCGTCTCAGTGATGCTAATTTTGGCGTCAAACTGAGTACAGCATGATCAATGTTAGTCAGAGAAAGATGATCATTTTTATTGATTCTGAAGCCTTCAAACAGAGATAAGGAATTTGTTAATGGGTCAGGGAGGAGGTATTGTCAGCAACAGGACGTAAGTGAGGGATAAAAAGAGAAGTAACACTTAGTAACAGGCTATGTCAGTTCAACAGCAGTGGCCCATATTTATCACAAAGAAACTGAAGTTGTTAAATGTTAAGAATTAAGGTGTGTAGATGGGTAATTTGGAGGTTATTGTGTAGGTTTTTGAAGTAATTAATTTTTTTTTTTTTGGTTAGTTGGATGGATTTATGTGTCTTAATGTGTGAATAGTGTCCCAGAGTTTTAAACATATTAATTTAAATAATACCTAATACCCCCTTCAGTCATTGGCAACCTTAAAGGGGCTGTCAGCTGAATGTAGCATTTTATTGCTATTTTGCTATAAACACAGTATAGATTTGATTGTGATGATTATTATTACCTTATAAAGTTGGTGAATGTGTGAGCAAACAATTGCTTATTAGCATTTGTAGTGTGTTTCTTATCACTTGATAAATGGCTGGAAAATTAGGCTGCTAAGAGCAAGAAAGACTGAACCAAAGCAGTAACGTAGTGAAACCAAAACAATGTGCTAAAAGATGCTAAAATGCTACTGTAGAGATATAGACTTATAGACAGTATCCCAAGAGTGACCTCTTTCACGTCACACACAGTCATTTGACCATTTGTTAATATAAAATAATGATTATTGCAGCTTTAAGGGTTTAAATCATTACCAACACATTCACTACTTTTACTCCTTTTGTTACATACAATATAAAGACTTACTGACTTATTGACTTAAAGACTTGTTGGTTTGTGTTTTTTTAAAAGATCCTTTTACTGGGGCTCAGTATTATATAATGGCTACATGCTCCACTATTAGTGGGATCTCTGGGTAAAACTGGGATTTCTACTCCAGTTGCACTTTGATGTTTATCTTATTATAATGGGCGTACCCTGTGGGGTCTGAGTGGTGTGGTCTGTCGGCGGACCCTGGAAACCTCCACTGGACAGCACCCAGTTATGTCCATCTTCTTTAGGGATGTTGATCCAGGTGCACTGTCCGGACTCAAAGTCACAGGTGCCTGGAGGACCGCAAGCCCCATCCCTCACAGAAATATCATCTAATTTCACTGTAGAGTTAGTGTCTGGCATATGGACTGCCTTAAAAACCACCTGGTGAAGGAAACAAACCATTTCTTAGGAAGCAACCAAGTATGCAGTTTATTGACTCACTGTGAAAGGAGACAGTTTGGTTGGCAGAGAGTATGAGGAAAGGGATCGTACGCGGAATTTTGCAGGAGAGGACACAGTGACCTCTGCCACCTCCCAGCCTGACGAGGGCACTTCTGATCGTTGCCAAAGTGCATCACCCTCCTCCCCGCTCCGCAGCACATGCACGGCAAGGATGTCGGTATACCCTACAGGTAACCAGTACCTGAACAAATACAGTCAATACACGAACATTAAAATCTGCATCAGACAACAGCACATAGATGTGTGTGATGGCAGCACTGGACTCACCAGAAGCGTACACATAAATCTGAAGCTGGTAACTCAGATGTGAGCAGCTCAGCTACTTCCCTCTGTGTAGAGTTTGATAATGTCGTCATGTAGAAACCTCCAGAAAAGAGAGAGTTAAAGCTGTATTAAATGCAGTCATGGTTTTTTCTTTTTTTCAGTTAAAGCATGACTGATGTTTCAGTGCTCACTGTAGATTGTGCTTTAATTTTGATATATGCATTTCTTCCCCCTATTCTCAACAGTCTGTTAAAAGCTACACTACATATACTGTATTATAATTTAAGTAACCGTAAGAACAAAGTACCAGGAAAATGTGTCAGATGTACAAAAAGAGTCTTTAGCCACGCTAGAGGTTTTTTAAGGCTCCACTTAGACACTGCACTGCTGTGAGCTACATGTTAATGCTAGTATGCTAACATGCTTATGTTAAGCTGGTGTAATGTTTACCGTGTTCATCCTCCTAACATTTGTCAATGAGCACTAACCACAAAGGATAGCTGAGGCTGATGGGGGAAGTCATTTGTTTTGCACGCATTTGGTCATAAACCAATCGTATTGGTTGATCATCTGAAAACCGTGAGTGACTGTAAAAAATTCCAAGGTAATCCATCCAATAGTTGATCCAATAGAGCAATTTCAGTTTGGACCAAAGTCTTGGACTGACTGAACAACAACGACCATTCATATTTTAACTGCAGTTTAATAGGTTTTAGCATACACTACATACTCTAAAACAAAAGGTTCCCACAAAAGAACAAGTTAGAAAATGTAGCAGAAATATGTTTTTTATTCCTGTTCCTTATCTTGGTAATCATCTTGTAACCCCTCAACGTTATATTGTGACCAAACCCTCTACAGTTGATTCACTTTACATTTTCACACATTCGCTGCACAAACTTGGTTGGTATAACAACAGTTTTCTACTCACCATTTTCACTTCCATAGGTGTGATCCACCTCATGTTTTGTGCCTCCTTTGCGCAACCACTGACCCCTGTGACTGACACTGTTCACAAAACCACACCAGCTGGAATCAAACCCACACACATCTAAAAGGGAGTAAAAAAAGAGGAAAATGGTTGTAATAATCAAAATAGTTTTGACTTCTTGTGACCATCAGGTAATGGTGGGTCTGTGTTTACGTACTCTGATTACTGCAGGCCCCCTCCCTCACTGTAAGGTCATCAATGGCAATGAATCCTTTACTGTTGGTGTCTCTATGACTTGTAAACATCACCTGTAGACCAAGGGGAAATACATACAGCATTTAATGAATTCATTTTTAAAAATTAGTTTCTATAAAATTGCTTATGTTTCTGCACTCTGTCTTGATGAAGTGAAATAAAAGAAATGCTTTTTCAGCTAAATCAGCCAATATCAGCAAATATGTAAAAATAAATTGGTTGAGATGGTTGATATCATTTAAAAATAGAGCTGCTATTATTTAATAAAGTAATAGCAGCTCTAATAAATAGATGTTTTTTTAGCCAAGTTAGTTTTAGCTGATCCTTATGTTTGTTGTGTGTTTAAGGCTGTATCAGCGTAAAAAGCACTGGATATATGAATATGTGATTGAGTTCAATTTTTACCCGTATCACATTTTTCATGCTGACGGTTACTTGTGCATTAATCCACTCTGGATTCTGGGTCCCTTGGCGAGTCCACACTAACACTTCAGAGGAATTCTAAAACAAAGCAAGTGATAACACCTGAAAAGTAATGACAATGCAAGCAAACCTTGTAATAGAAAGTTTTAAGTACTAGCTAAGGTACATACAGTCTCAACCAGCAGATCCAGGGTGGATACTGAAGGCCCGAGCATGTAGTACCAGAATCCAACACAGATATCATCTGATTGTTGATTGATTACAGGAGCAGAGATGACTGCTCTCTCTCCATTCTTAGATCCAGATCCATTCAGCAGTAAGAAGAAACCTTCATAGACAAAGAAAACAGAGAAGCTACCAGACTGTGGGGCAAATCACTGAATACAACAGGAGACTAAAGGCAAGGCAGTGCTTCCATTCAACCCAGCATTGTTTTTTTAATACGTACTGACATCAATAGTATGTGTCAACTTTTAATGTTTGAATGGTGGAATAGCAATAAAACACTGATAATGTAAAGTGCTGCAAATAAGTATCATTTTGTTCATTAAACTTTTAATTATCGATTAGAGTTTCAATTTCAATATTCATCATTTTAGTCTATAAATCACAGAAACAGAAGCCAATGTGTTCAGTTGCCACCAAACAATCCAAAACATGGTGGAATCAGCATTCGCTTCAAAAAACATTTATCAGAATTATTATATTTCTCTTCTAGTAATGGTTCTGTATTTACAGTACAATGATCAAACAAATGAGTGATGTTCTTTACAGCCCCATCTTCACTACAAATGTTTTCAGGTCTGGTTTCTATTCAAAGTTACTTTCCAGTGTTCAAAAATACTCCTAGTGGGGATGCTTATATTATTGTCAATAGTTAATACCTTCATTATTGTTAACAGTATGATCATACTGAGGTCCAGCCCATGGCTGCTCCACTTGAAGTCCTCGACTGAGGGTCCAGTTCAAATCATCACTGACCTCCTGAACCCAAATACATAGACCTGTTTCACAAGATATAATTGGAAATCTTAAAACAGACAAATGGCCTCAAGTAAAACTCAAATATTCATGAAAGAAAAGGGAGATAGAGTTCACATTAACAGATATCGTATAAAGCAATTCATGGAGTCTGGAGAAAAATGTCATAATTTCCCTTTATTTATTCAGTTATTAAGTCACTCAAGATGTTCAACCGTTTAACGTATGATTCACACATAAACACACAAGTATTATCAGCCTTTAGTTGTGGATAAAAATATCTGTAACATATTGAGTCAGCTGAATTATTCCCTTCACTGCCGACTTGCTGAAATGCTTTAGCAGGCTCTTAAAAAATGACTTGTCTAAACCACAAGCCACAACTTCAGTTACCTTTTTTTATGTTTTGAAGGTTGGTGGAGGTTTCATTTTGTAATCCTCCGTAAGCAAGCATAATATTTTTGTCTCTACTGGACCCCAGTTTTCCCAGAGTTACCTTGTTCAAAAGTGCAGTCCATGGCGGAGGCAGGAGCAGCGGTGGTCGTTGTGGCAGGGTTTGGGGTGGTGGTTGAGATAACGTCATCACAAGACATGCCCCTGATGATGTGGACGTCGTCCAGTGCAAAGTTTCCTTGCTTTGAACTGGGACAAAGGGCTTGTAAAATAATCTGTGATGAAGGATGATAGTTCATTTAAAAACGTGCACACTGATTTATTCAGGAGCAGAATTTATCAGGGGATATTACTTTATGAAATGATACCTGGTGAAGCCCTGATGCATTGTAGTCCACCCTGTCTTTGATCCATGTTTCATTCGTATAACCGTTTGTATTCCACAAAGGACGCAGTCCAGCAGACTCATTCAAAAACACTGTCAGTGTAACGTCTGTGGGGCCTGGAAGCATCAAAACTCATCATCAAAAGTCAGAAATTTGTGTTTTGAGAATGTTTCTCCTTCTCGATGATTCGATCAGACACAAAAATTAGATGATTTAATATCGGACAATTCGATCTGTAATGAGGCGCGCAGATCAGACCACCACAAAATAACCAGGAGTCCTCTCAGTGATCCTCATGTATTCAAAATCATTTTATTTGTAGGCTCTTTTTCCATGTGTATATGCACTGTGTACTATTTGTGTCGCATGCAAAAGTAAACAGCAATACAGCTTCAATGGTTCGTACATCCCATTAAATGATAAAGACTCTAAAGTACCTATTTGGGTGGAATATTAGGCCATCATGTAATGTGTTTTGTGATACCTGATTATTCTTTCATATATAATTCAATGTAAGTGAATGGTACTGTTATATTGGTGGCAAAAATAGCTTAATTTGGAGGTTTGAAAGTCAAAAGATGTCTAGTTAAAAGTTAGTTTAAATGTAAACATTTTCGTGTCTACATTTGGCGGCAGATTTAACAACATTTACAGTAAACTACTATGTGTCAATATGAGTTTTAAAAAAACGTACTGACACAGTAGAAAACACTGTACTCACGATCTGATAACCATCCACTGGTGTAGTGCCACATCTCCAGGCAAGCTTGGTCTACTGCCTCCATTGTCTCACTCTCCAGTCGGGCGATTTCTTCTCTATCAGATCCAAGGGCTGTAAAGAATGCAAAGTGGCCTACAGAGAGAAAACAAAACAACATAACATATCCAAGAGAGTTATTTTCCAACAGTGCCCTGCATGTGCTTCATCTGCTGATCCATTCTGTGGCCTGTCCTCCTCCAGATCTCCATGGTGGAGAGGAGGTCGCATGTCTCACTTAACTTCCTCCTGGATCCACATTGTATGTGAAATACATCATATAATCTTATGTATCAGAAATTGTGTCGTAAAAATTTGTATATCATGGGATTTTGTCAGGTGGCCAGGGTGAATGTGCCATGTGTCATCCTCTCTATCCTTCTTTCCAGTCTATCTCAAGCTGTCCTGTCAAATAAAGGCAAAAAGCAGCCAAAACATACCCTTACTCTAGGGCCTAAGGACAGATTGTAAAGCCCTCTGAGGCAAATAGTAATTTTACTTGACTTGAGTTAGACACATCAAGTTGGTTTCTTCCACAGTTTCCGTATTTTCAGTGCAAAATAGCCTTATTGTGTTATTTACCCTCTACCACACCTTAACAAGCAAACACTGTCCAGGGAAAACAGTGAGGGACTTTAGCTATGGAAGATTTCCACTTTATATGTCAAACTCAGACTGCTGCAGTCTTATATTATGTTCTAGTTTTGAATACTTTTTTTGCACAGAAGGAATGGATTGATTTACACTGGAGGCACATTAGGATCTGGCCAGTATAAGCAGGAGGAATGATTATAACAAGCAGAAGCCTTTTCAATGATCATACAGCCGCCCGACTACTGTTTTAAGACACTGTTCACTGTTTCTTCTGTCCCAAGCACAGATTCCGGTTTTGTGGATTGCAAACAATCATCATGATGTTGGTAATTAAAGAAGGTGGGCGGTGTCTTACCCAAAGCAGAATTTGTGGAGTGGTCCTTCTTTGGAATAAGAACCTGAAAGGAAACCTCACTGTCCCCTGAGAGCCAGTCCCAGTCCACGCCAGACTCTGCAGGAGGTTTGTTCACCCAACCACAGAAGTCCATTTCAAAGTCACAAAAACCTGCAACCGACACACATACAGCATGCAACCATACATGCATGCACAAATTAGATTAAATACAAAGAACCGCTTCAAACACACACACACACACACACACACACACACACAGAGAGAGAGAGAGATTTTCATACTCTATCTGTTTTAATTTTAAACTTTAAACTTTGAAGTTTACAGCGGTCACAAACCTGGCGGGGGACAGGCACCATTCAGGATAGTGAGGTCGTCAATGGCGACGTCTCTCCTCGGTCCATCCCCAACCACCGCCTCAAAAATCACCTTTCATGATAAAATTGAACTTATGAGATGATCTGTGTTATTTCCACATAGCTCTGTCTTTTACACGTACTGTATGAGTGAGGAAGTGCAGACGTATCTCAAACTCTTAAGAGTCTCTGCTGCACAAGCTGAACTGAAATCATAATCCACACACCATTTGTATATTCATATGTTTATACTAAAGAACAGATCTTTCAAGTCGATCTTAGAACAATATTCACATATTATGTACATTAAGAGTTATTAAGTGCTGTAATCAGTCCTCCTGTCTAATCCTTTCTAAAGTGATTTCAGTGTTGTTTTCCAGCGTTATAGTCTTTTTAGAACCAAATGTCTTTTTGTGTTAGAGTGAAGAGGAATACATTCCAAAAAAAAGGGAAAATCATACTTAAAAGACTGTAACTTTGGAGCCATTTAATTTTCTCTGGCTGCTGAAGCCTCAAATTAGCTTCAGTATTTCTGAAATTTCCAGGAGGAGCAATTCATCTACTGTATCTTTTAACAGTATTTTTTAATGTACTTTGATTTGATGGAGCTAAACCTACAGTGTTGTTTGTCACTGCATAGAATTAACTGAAAAAAATATTATGTCCGTATACTTGGGGTTTCTCTCAATGTCCTTGAAGTCATTTAAACTCTATCCATATTCCTTCATTCACTTTTCAAAGCTGCAGTTACAGAACAAAGAAAGTCAGGAGACAAAATGTATAAAACGAGTGTACAAACCACAAAATATAATATTTTAAAATCAAGAAAAGCTAAAAACAAGTGAGTTTCAAGATGCTTGTCATACACTGATCTAGTCATTTATTCAACAATTACTATCTGATAACTAACCATCTACTACCTGATACTGGGTGGGACTGAGAAGTGTTACTCTTCCGTGCCTCCAGTGCTTCCCCTGATCTCCACTTCTGGTCCAGAGCGGGGCAGAGCGTCTGTTGTTGTCAAGGGTTTGAAGGTAAACATTGAGTTCCCCCACCTCACTTCCCTCCATGTAGTACCAGAACATCAGGCACTCTCCATCAGGAGTGCTAGGCTCCATCAAAGCAGTCATCACTGCAACTCTGGTCCCCACAGGATGACTCCACAACTGGGCGCTCAGGTAATAACCTACACACCAGGCAGAATTATGCATATGCTGATTTTTATGTGAGAGTGACTGTTTGTATACGCATGTAAGTTTGTGCATACGTTGTTTTACTGTTAACAGCATGGGATCACACAAATCATTATCATTGCATATACTGCAATGCATCATCCTCTGCAATCACAAACAAAATGCATCATCTTTCTTGAAAATTGGCATTTCCAATTTTCCAGTTATCAGACTTCCTTCAGCTGATCCAACTTGTTAATACGTAATTACATCATAAACCTACAGTAGTGTCTAGCTCTGACATGATTTTAAGCGCTCACAGCAGATTATCCTGCTGATAATATATCACAAGGAGTTGCATACCTTGCTCTGTGCCCAGAGTGTGATCTGCCACAGGGCCTGAAGAATTGGCTGGTTGGGACGTCCCTGTGATCCGGCTCCAGCTGTGTGCAGACGGTTGGGGCAGCAGACCACAAAGGGAGCCCTGGAAGGTGCACTCTCTCTCAGCCGGACAAGAGTCAGTCTCACTGCTGGACACTATTATGTCATCAATGGCTATTCTGCCTTGCTTTCCACCCACCACGGCTTCTATAATAAACTGGAGAACAACATAAACGAGTGCGGGTTTCAAGTTGTGTTTAAAGTCACGAGTACTTGGTTATCTTCTAACACGTCTTCATAACTGCTCTTTAAGATATGGCTCTTCACAGGAAATAAAATGTCTTAGAATCTAAATAACCCTTACGTTCAGTAGAGGAATATACACAAAAAAGACCAATAAGAATACCTGTATTGGTTTGTCACTGTTGAAGGTAAGATCAGCAAACCTCCATTTGTTTCCCTGGGTGCCGCTTCTCATCCACACAACCGTCTCCGCTTCACCAGAACGCTTTGAAATAAACTTCAAAGAACCTGCCAATAACAGAATATCAACAGGACTTGTGCATCTGAGGGATGTTTGTGTATTATAGACACATAGGTGGTTAGAATGAATCAGAATTGTTTGAATCTTCAAAAGTACTGTAAAGTAGTTTTTTGTGTTTATAAGAATAGCTATGGACAGTGAGGGACGTACCAATGCTGTTACCAAATATGTAGTACTGGAAGCTCACGCATATGATTTGACCTGCAGGCTGAGGGAAGCTGATGAATCTGGCTGCTGAGGAGATATTTAGTGTGGGTGTAGCAGTTATGACCATGTAGTTGCCTGCAGAGGAAGAAGAAAGGACGTTTTTCTAAATCATCAAATACAAATTTATGAAATCAAACATATCATCAACATGTCATCGTAAGGATGGTTGTGTACTTAAATGTAGCTGTATTTTTGTAATATTTAGCGGTCACTTGTTTGTGGTTAGTTTTATGTTTGGTCCTCTCTTTACATTTATGTTGTTGTTATATTATACGCGGCCATTTGAACATTTATTGCTAGTTTTGTGTCACTGATTTGGTTTCTCTATCTTGCTTTCATGATTTCATTAATATTTTATTTTGTCAGTTTTTATATGTGTGTCAGAAAGATTAGCCCACTGCAGAAAGTGAAGTGAAATAAAATAAACAATAAACACAACATGCTTATTTGGGTGTATAACAACATGTAAGCGCTGCTGGGGCGTTTACAAGGCTGGACATGAGGGGCAAAGCAGGCAACCGCCCCTAGACCTTCAGGAGTCACTGTGTGGCAATTAGTCCAGGGTAATTTCAAACTGCATGCACCACTAACACACATTGTAAAGTAAAAATGTGCTTAATCAAGACATAACATAACTGCTGAAAGAAAATTCTTGTTTACTGTCAGCAGGATACTCACCATTTCCAGATCCCTCATTACTCTTTTTCCACAAAAGGCTGGCAGTGAAGTCATTGTACCAGGAACAGGTGTCCTTTTCAAAATCACATGAGAGTTGGTCTGATCCTGCCGGGACATCTCCCTCTCCACAGTTCTCAAAGCGTATATCATCCAGCATGACATCTATTGTTTCCCCATATGGAGGGCTGAATGACAACCGCAGCTGTAGAAAGAGAAGTGTTTTACTGGTTTGTTCTTAAAGTCAATATTAAAAATGACTGAGTGAGAAGCAGATTACTGTAACAGGGTGAAAGAAAATAATTCTTCTTGAGAAGTATGTCCGCACTGACTACATTTTGGGCCCCAGGGGGAAAAAAAATTGCCATGGCCCCTACTGAGCACTCATTGCCTTCCACTCACTGTGTATTGTGTACTGTTGCCTTTAAGTACACTTCAAGTACCCATGAACTCATCAGCCTACACATACATACATGGTAACTTAATTTTGCCTGGAACCCTAGAAACCAACCAGTACATCTGATCTTGGTAGCTCAGGTTTGCTTTGTGTCTGTATGACAACACAAATCTATTGAGGAATATGTACCAGGTTAACGCACAGTAAAAAGTATGCTGAATTAGCCTTTAGCCTGTTTGCAGTATAACCAAACAGCTTTCAATGGATTACTTTGACAGTGAAGAAAACATACAATTGTGATGATTCTCAAGCATGTTCTGCAGTTGTAAGGAGTGTATTTTTTTCTGTGACTTCTAAACAGATTAATGGACTTTTTTTTAAATGGAAAAATATGTGTACTGTTTTATGCATCTGGACCTTATTTGACTCTATGAGCTGTATGTGTCACATCCACTGCTGCACAGGAGCACACCTGCATGCACCTGTCTCTTTCACCTTACAGAGTATCCTCACCTCTGTTCCCCCTGTGCCTCACAGTTTGAAAACTCAGCTCTTAATCAAAAATAAATAATTTTAAATTACTATGTCTGTGTAAAGCATAAAAGTAAATAGGGTATTTCACTAACCTTGTATCCTGCTGGCTGATTACCGATGAAGGCTTTGGCATTCTCCCAACCGTCTGTTTCATTTTTAGTTATCTCCAGCAAGTCCCTCTCAGTGTTACCTCTGAGCGTTAATTTAAGGGTTGATGAAGATGATGATGTTGTCTTCTGATAAATATGGTACCAGAAGCTGGAACACATAAAAATTCAATTCACAAAAACAGCTAACAGATAGCACAGGGTACAGAATATGACTAAGTCAAGTGAAGTGATCAATCGAGATCTAATTGTAAAATTCATATCTTTAAAAAAAAAAATCATTGTTCTGGTACCTGATCTGACATCCCGGAGCTGCCAACTTTTCAACAGAATACTCCAATTTAGCCGTTTTAAAACCACCACCTTCTTCTCCATCTATATGCATGACATGCCCTGTATCCAGCAGACAAATATCTAATCATAAGATTACCATCACAGGCTAGATGTCATAATCTAATAAAATATTTTTATTACAGAAGTGCCACTGTATCCATTTTGAATTAATTATCAACAAAGTAATAACACAAATGGAACATGGCAGGTTAATATTTACCCAGTGGACTTCCTGTGGTATGATCCAGTCCAGGTATTGAGGTGATATTTGCTGTCTGCCGTCTCCAGTGGTAGTTGCCATTACTGGTGTCGTTCCAACCACAAGAGTGATGCTCGAAGTCACATGACCCTTAACGAGGAAGGAAATTTAGTCAGTCCGTATTAAGACTCTGATTTTGTGAAACAACCTGAAAGCATTTTTGTACCCAGTGTTGGGGTTATTTATAATGTTTTTTAAACTATTTGCATTGTATTTTCCTTCTGTTTCTGTATATCTAAAGTACATATACCTTCATAAATACTGCATTCTAAATGCTAATTTGTTGTGTTGAAGTGTCTGATGTTAAATTCAAATTAAATTCAAATAAATTAAACTTTGAAAATGCTTTCCTGAACTGCCAGCATACCACAAAACTCTTCATCTGAGCCATTTTCACAGTCCGTCTTAAAATCACAGACGAGTCCAGCAGGAAGACATTCTCCAGATGTACAGGCGAACTCCCAATCAGGACAAGAAGACACAATGGCCAACAAAACTGTAAAGAAAGTTTTATTACAAAAGAGATAAGAAAAGAAAAAAAAAGAAGAGGGGAAATGTGACTATATCTTTGAATTCCATCATTACAATCTTTCTTTTTTTTTTGCTTAAACGTCTGTAAGCTTTCAGATAACATAGGCTACGTTCACAGTGGCCCAAATCTGATTCTTTTTTTGCTTATGTGTGACCCCATCTTAATATATATATATAATATATATATATATATATATATATATATATATATATATATATATATATGACAGACAAATCACAGAATAGGATATTTTCCAATTCTGATTTCAGCCACTCATATGGGTTTTACAATGTGCTGAACAGTCATATGAGAATTCATATGACTCTTACATCACTCTAGATTAACATTTGTTATGCAGGTCCCTTCAGGGTCGTGAACTGTTCACACTGGAATCTGATATGGGCCACATTTAAAAAGAATAACATGAACATCAAACAAAAAAAAAAGGCTTTCAGTGTGAAAGTAGCAGCACAGACATATTGCAATCACATACATACACATCACTGACACTGCACAACTTGTCACTCTGTAGTTATATGAGTGACAACTCAGGTGACTTCTTCCTCGTCTTTACACACCTTATTTAACCAGTATACACATAAAATAAGTAAACATGACCTTAAAGATAAGCAGTTATACAGAAATGTGCATAATACATAGCTATGAAGACTCTTACCTGGCAGCAGAACAAATACTTGTTTCATGTCTGGAGAAAAATAGCACGTCGCAAGAAAATCCCCAAAAAAGGCAAAAGATCCTTAAAGCATTATCTCTACCCCAGCAACCCCTCTGATTAACAGTTTGTGCCTCTATTATTGGAGTGCAACTTTTATTACAACTAAGGATGTGAGTCCTTATCGTTAAACTACAGGTTAAAGTCCAGCGTGTACTCAGTAAACTGCATTACATTTCCATTGCTTGTCTTTATGACCCTCATTTCATGCCTCACTTTAAAAGCTGTAGTTTACAAGAACTGCCAAATGTCATATATTGTGAATTCTCCAGATGAAAGTACAGATCCAGATTTATGTAGTCTTTGTGTTGGAAAATATTAATATGAGTGAACTATCATTCAATAAGCATCAAACCAATGATGAAATCAATATTTTATAAAGGCGTATGGAGTAGCATCAGTTTGGATTTTAATCTCTTTAAAAGACGCTTTTTATGTAAAGAAAACATATAGCATTAGCTAAATGTATCCTATGAATTTACCCCAAATATTTATATTAATATTAAAGTGGGTAATTTCAGACAAAAGGCAAATCAGGTCAATTACCCTGTATGTGGTAATGGACAAGCTTTGCTGGATCTTATCTGTACTTCCAACTGGGAGATAAAAAAATACCAGGAAAATTAGATACTCCATGTACTTAAGTTCAGTACTTGAAGTCAACAAATTATCTGCAAAGAGTTCAACTATCAAACCACTCTGGGTACTAGAGTAGTACAGTAAGGACTTTTGAGGAGCTCAAAACCTTATACAATAGTCTTGACCATAAAATAGTAAACACAATTAACAACTAAGGTTGCTACTTTCCTCCACAGGGGCTGTAAACTGACTTCTGTCAAAGGTTACAGGTCACGCCTGGTTTTCAGGTGTCTGGCCATTAAAACTGACAATGAGATCATCTCACAAAGAGCAAGCTATCCAAATGCCTGAGCAAAGGTTTGTGTATCCTCAGGAAATCATGGGCTGTAAGAGGAGCAGAATCAGTGATAACTAAGTTAACGGGAGAGAGAGGCAAAAAGCCAGAAAGCACACACAGTGATTAAGATTACAGATAGGCTCACAGTAAGCCAATGGCTGTGCTCCATTTAGCCATGCTGCTTGCAGTGGTGGAAGTAGTATTTAGATTCTTTACTCTACTACTACTCTACTACTGTGAAAATCATATTTGAGTTTTGGTTTACTTTTGGGTGAAGAGTTTGATCAGTTTCTGGTTATGTGTGGGTCTATTGTGGTTGTAGGTGTCCAACATATTGCACACAAAGCTTTGGCAGCAGGCTTCAAAAGTGACCTTATAAGGTCTCTGGAAGTATTAGTGAAAAGTGGGTAGTGCTATTAACTGGTGAACACGGCTGTACTGTTCTGAAGGTCAACTGCAGAGCAGTTTACTTTTTGTCCAATCTTAAACCAGGTTGGGACACATTGTAAAGGCAGTCAACAATAATTTGAGACCAATCTACACATGAACTACACCAGTATAAAATGACACCAGTCCTACTAACAGGCCTTATGAAAACAATCAGTGCAGTCACAAAAGGTTCATATTTCAGCACAGTCCTCCGCCCCAAAAAGGAGAATAACCAAAGAGGAAGTGAAAATGCAAAATGCTATGATAGATGTTAAGGACGAGTTGGAGAATAGACCTCAACATCTGAATGCCTCTGCCCCGAAACAGGATATTGTGTTGCTACACTCAGGATGCAGAAAATGTTCTGTTCATCAGCAACAGTGCAATATCACTCTGCTCTTATAACCTTACGGCTATCATAGCACTAGTGTAGGATTGTTTTTTTAGCCTTCCTCCTAACTAGCTTGTTAGAAATGACTTGCTAGGCGTTTGCTTCCACTTTTTAAAGTTGTTGCACAAAGGTTGCTATGGTCTTTGAGATGGTTGCTGTTATACTTGCAGGGATGTACTGGGTGTTTACCATAACTAGCAAAAGGTCATTTACATAGTCATGGGCAGTTATTTTCTCATAATGCTGTTATACTGGTGCACGATCATTTCCTGAGCAAGGCATTTCAATGCATTGTTTTCTGACTCCTTAAAGTTATATAATAAAGAATTGGAAAGCCAATGACCATAAAAATCTTCCATTTTACACAGATTGATGAGAACGTGCAAACCCCAGACATTAAACCCAGAACCTTCTTGCTGTGAGGCAACAGCGCTAACCACTGAGCCACCAGGCCGCCAACTGAAAGGTTTTTAGTTAATAAGATGGAGTGTTTGTTGTTCATCTACTGGACAATCAATAGACTAATCATGTCATGACATCGCTGGAAAGCTAGCTTGTCTTGTTGTTAAACATTCTGTCACATTATATTTACATTGTTTGTCAAGGGTTCGTGAGCGGGGGGAACTAGAAATATCTTTTCCAAATCTTATCAAAGGTTCATCCCAGTTACTGCAGTAGTGAACAATGTTTCCATTGCATTAGAACCTTATGGGATGATAATGATTCTTCAGGTGTTACCAGGTAAACGGAGCTATGGCTGGTAAAAAAACCTCAAAATTTTAATTGCAAAACCATGGTTACTTGCCAAAGAACCTCACAGGGCATTATCCCTTACTTATTGTTTCAGAATATCCACGTTGTCCCCATTTTTTTTTTTTTACATTTACATGCAGGGAAAAGCCAGCTCTTTCCTGTGTCAATCTTTACAGAAATCTGCATCAAAGTCTGTAAGTGTGGATACTGGCATACCGAACACTGACTCTGATGAGTCATGTTTACCATAAATCTCTTACACATCATTTTTTTTCCATGATAGGAAGTGAATGGGGCCACTTTTCGCCGTTTCTGGATAGTGACATCCGTGTGAGCAAGAAAGTGTGTGGTTGTTTTTGTGTATGTTGCCCCTACTTCCCTCCCAACCCCCTTTTTTACCAGTAGCAAAATGTTGAAATGTGTCAATCTGTAACATGACACTTTCTCAATGAAAAGAAAAAAAAAAGTGTCAGTGGTCAGTGGTATTAAGATTCCCTCCTTTTCATGTTCATGCTCATAAGTCCTCTGCTTGCAATGCATGGACAATGTCTGCTGCTCTGAGACTTATCAGAAGAATGCTGATTTCAAGGATAACTCTAGCAGCCTTGGTGCTCTTCATCCCAGCATGTTCAACAGCAAATGGTACAGTATGCACTAAGGCTTTCTTATATGATATATTCTGTAGCTAAGACCTTTTTTCCTGGTAAGTTTGTGAGCTGTCAATATGTCTTGGTACTTACGTTTTTTTTTTACAAAGTTAATGTGGTCAGTTGTTTTAAATGTTCCATTCCAGAAAGTCTTACAAAACGTATGCATGTGCAAAAATATATAATTTTAACATTAAATTTAACATTTAAACTGACTTGTTTTTACATCTTTCTGCAGATACCCCGTTCTCACTCATTAACAAAGCCACTGGTTTTTGTTTGCTGAAAAAATCCAACCGCTGCCTTGACATGCGCTGGACAACCGGTGATCGTCTTTATGCTATCTCAAACAAAAAGTGCCTGGGAGCGCAGGGCAAAAGTGTGGGGAGTGAAGTAAGCCTCTACGATTGTGACGACAACAGTGACCTCCAAAAGTGGGAATGCAGAAATGAGACACTGCTTGCCCTCAAAAGCCAAAATCTCTTCATTGAAATAAAACCCGATGAATCCATTGCTCTTTCCAAAACTACCGGGCCGAATAACCAACTCACAATCACAGGGACATCCAGTGGTGCTTGCTCGAGAACATACAGAGGTACAGTATGAAAACCTTCGCTTCGAAGTGAATAGCCAATGGAAGCCTCAGAAGAACACTATGCATGAGTAATTTAACTTACTAACTCACCTAACACATAATTTTATGATCAAGTAGAATGATGCATCAAGTTCCTCCTCGCTAGATTTTGGTTGCACATGCCTGGAGTAAATAAATAGTGAAGAGAAAATGAAACAAATGATTTTGGTCTGCTCTGAAACAATACGGCAAAACAATGCATATTTGCAGAATAATTATTTGCAACAATTCAGTTTAAGATTTAATTTGATAACCTCTTTTTCCTCTTCAGAACTTTATACCATTGAAGGAAATGCATTTGGCAAGATCTGCATGTTTCCCTTCATGTACAAAGACCGATGGTTTGGAGACTGCACTACATACGATTCCTCAGTACGGCGTCTTTGGTGTGCGGTTGAAACAAAATTTGAGCATGAACAGTGGGGATACTGCCCGACGTCTTGTGAGTACAGTGACATTTAAGAGCGCTACTTCAACAAAACAAAGCATGCAGTATGAGACCTAATGTTTAGCCTACATTAATACATTATAATGTTTCAATGACTGAAGAATTTATAATATTTCTTTTCCACGTTTCTGTATTGATGCACAGCCACAGAGCACTGGCCAAAAAACCTTATAACTGGAGCGTATTACCAGCTCAACACACAGTCAGTTCTGACGTGGTCTCAGGCTGACGCCAGCTGCAAACAGCAGGCTGCCTCCCTGGTCAGTATCATCGATCCCAACGAGCAGGCTTATATCTCAGGTAAGGTGCCACCTGGTGGATGTTTGCTGGTACTGAAACAGATACATACTGACCTAACACAGGTGGGTTAGTTTGTACAGACATAAAAATGCTTATATCACATGTTTAAAAAGGTTTTATGCAATTATTATTAAATAAAAAGACTGAATTTGAGCAACCTTTTTTCTGATAAATCTTTAATCTTTAAACCCTTATTTATTAAATGAAACACTTAATGAATAGTATGACACAAGGCATGCTGCTGCACTGGCCCAAAGATCATCTCTCTTCTCTCAACACATCTTCAATCTTACATTTGCATTTGAAACAGCAGAAATATTGCTACTTAGCTGTATAATAGAGATATGGATTGTAGCTGGAGGGGAATCATAGACGAAATGACTACTAGTTAAGTTTTGGACCCATTCCTGTCCCACCAAACTTTATTACATTACATTATTAGAAAAATAATTTATCTTGTAAGCTTTCACTACACAGCTAATTCTTGTTTTTTTCTTGTGTTTTGATGCATTTGTAAATTTCATAAATTTTTTGTGCTTGTTCGACCGATTTTCTGTCTTTTTGCAGACTTGTTAT